AATAGATTTGAAGATTGGAGCCCACAATTATGAGGCTAAGACTTTCCTGGTCAAAAAAATGGTCAGGGAGATGGTGGCAAAAATCGTATAAATCAGCCTAGCCCCTTCCAGCTGTTGGACTACTACTGCAATGCTGGCTGAGAACAATGGGACTTGTTCTTGTTGGCTGAGGGTAATGGGAAACTTGAAGAACCATAATAAGAGGCTAAGACTTTCCTGGTCAAAAAAATGGTCTTGTTCTTGTTGGCTGAGGGTAATGGGAATTGTAGTCCAATACATCTGTAAAGTGACAAATACAAGGAAGTTTTCTTGACTAGGATCAGTCGTCAGTCACCTAACTTTAGTGAAAGACACCCAATGCTGGAAGACGTCTTACTGACTCTAGTTTGACAGACAGAGAGATCTGTATTTTCCTTGTGTGACATGCCCTCTTAAGAACTAACCACCCCACAATTATTGGTATATAGGCAGAAAAGATGGTGATAATAAAGTTATAGATGGGTAGCATTGTTAAGTCTGTTGAAGCAAAAGGAAGGAAGGAAGGAAGAACACAACTAACACCTGAAAAATGTTGTTGATTTGAGCCTCCTGCAGATGCACTAGTAGTTTCCCTAGGTTGTAGAAATACTACAAGACTCATGGATTTGTACTCTGTTCATCTAAGTCTGGTTCCATTAGAGCTCCTAGGTCTCAAGGCACCCTCTGAAGTCTTACGAAATTATCATGCTTCTCTGGATCCTCAAGCTAGAAATCTCAGGCAAATAAATACGAGGGTGTGGAGCACTACAGGAGGAAACAATTTCACTTTTGTTTGTGAGATGGCTTCGAAACATGGCCCCCATCTCTGCTTATTCTTCATTGGCTCCAGAGCTCACTGGCTCAGCATGAGAGAGTGTGTGTGTTACACTGAATGGTGCAATGGTCCCAAACTCTTGCACTTGCCAGTCCTTTCCCCAGCTTTCCCCCCTCGATCCTGGCTATTTGAAACACCAATGCATCACTGTAACAAGGCAGGAAGTGCTGGACAAGCATTGTGACTCATGAGCCTTCTTGCAGCACCTAAGCCTAGGCATCAGTCGCATGAAGCTGGAAAACCCTCCTGACTTTGTGACGTAAAAAAAAAGTCTGTCCCCTGGTCTCAGGTTTTGACCCTGAAATCTCAGGTAATGGGATGCTGACGAGAGTCTGTCCCCTGGTCTCAGGTTTTGGCCCTGAAATCTCAGGTAATGGGATGCTGACTATCTGCTCTTCCATTCATTTCAGCAATTTGCAGGCAGGCATTCTTGCTGGTTCCAAGGGGACAATGGGAGGCAGTGGAAAAATGGAAGCTAGATTCAAAACGGTTCCAAGAATGGGAAGCAGTGGAAAAATGGAAGCTAGATTCAAAAACCCCGGATGTGCTATTTATTTATTTACACACGGTGAGCAAGCAACTATAAAAGTGAAAACTTTGGTATAATTTCAGAAATGTGTAAAAAATCATTGTAAAATAAAAATGTTCTGTTCACTACTCACAAGATATATGGAATCATGAGTGGAAGGAGAGTCAGAATAAAAGTTGGCATTGTCCCCCCTTGAAAAAATGATTTCACTCTAATTCTGATCACCGCTTCATGAATGTTAATATTGCTACAGCAGGAGGTTCTTCTAGACACAATGGTGACAGCTTTTACTCCCAGGTTCCCCATATTTGCATTCTATCTTCTTTATGTAAATAACTATTAATAAATCAGTATGCTAGTGACATGGTGCGTAATGCCAGGTTTGATAATATATTTCGTATTTGTTGGCACCAGCATGAAGATGCTGAGTTCCAACATTAAACTAGTTCGCGCCAGACCTCCATGGAGCTGAAATAATATTTCACACCAGCGTTTGGTTGGAACATTACTTTTAAAAAGCCAGTAGTTACTTATTATTTACTTTCCACAAGTGATTTGTTAAATCACTCATGAATAAAAGGGGCAGTAGTTTTATTGTGAATTAGTAAATGTTAGTTTCTTAATCTTAAACAAATACACTTAAAATAGAAAAAAGCATACAACCCCCCCCCAAAGAAACGCTCTATAATTTAGGAGTAATAAAGAAATATTAGTTATGCAAAAGGAGGAGGAGGAGGAGGAAATAATTGTAAATCATTACATTACTTAAAAAAAATACATTACAGGATACACCATTATTGAAAGGTCTGATTCATGTGCTCATGATCAAGAGGATGGTTTATGTGTCGATCAGCTTATCTACATATTCTGCACTAATTTAAAAAAATTAATAAGGCAAAACCCTAGACTCATAGATCAGTTTAATCAGAGAGAAAGGGTGCCTGTAGAAATCCAGCAGCTCAACACTGTTCTTTTGCAGGCGGGAGGCAGCGTTATTCTGACATGCATATGTATAGCATCAGAAATAAGGCTCCACATAACTCACCTAACCTACAGAGACATTTCGGTTATACAGAGATGCTAATTGCCTGAATAATGACATTCCCAGGGAGCTCAGCTGCACTGATTATCTAATGATTAAGATTTAATGACATAGACAGATAGACAAGATAGATGAGACAGACAGATTGATCTTGCATTCATGGAATTCTGTTGCAATTTGTTACACTTCTTTTTATTAAATGCTAGCATAGAAGACAGGGTATAACCATAGTTATGAGACAAAGTTATGGGACAACGGTCAACTTCAATTGGGTCTACTCCTCCCCAATGGCTGGGGAGGAGTAGACCCAATGCTTTCACTTCATTGGGTCTACTCCTCCCCAGCCATTGGACTCTTTCAGAGAATCCATTCCACAACCCTGAAGTATCAAATGCATGAGTCGGGGCTGAACAAGATGTGATGTCCATTACATGAAGGCCACTAAGGTGCTGCATGTATTGTAGAGTAACACTACTTGTGTTTAACATCTCCAAGTGGCATTTGTTTGTTCCTATTAAATATTTGTATTCTTATTGTGTTAACTTTAATACTGTATTGACTTTTAGTGATGTAAGCTGCCCCTTTAAACTCATTGTTCTTTGCTTTAAATATTGTATTTCAAGGATGTCAACTGCCTTGGTCCTTTTTAAGGAGAAAGATTGGGTAAAATATTGTAAATAAGTGAGTAAGAATAAATATGGTGGGCCAGGAAGAAAGAACCCTGACATGGGAAACCAAGAAATAACACATAAATTGCAGAAAGCCAGAATATTTCAGTCAGTTGATGAAAAAAATGAAAAGATCAGCACTCAACGTAAAATAAAGGGGAAAAGAAATTTAAGAAGAAGAACTGAAATATCAGACTGGTTAGATGCAAAACAACATTGTTCTTTAAGAGCACATGAATCAGGCCTTCTCTGTATACAAAGTCACACTGGCCGTGATATTATCTAAAAAACAAGGACAGAGAATAATAAGGGAAAAAAACAGTATGGGCCTGATGTCAGTGACACCTCTTCAAGCTATTTGAAAGGAAGCTAGGCAATGTCAGATTTGTAGACAGGTATGAAAGCCGGATAGTTCAGAAGCGAAGAGAAGAAAATTTGATTCCTTTGAAATGTGGTACTGGAGAAGTGTTTTGTGGATACTGTGGCCTGTCGGAAAGATGAACAAGTGGGTCCCAAGTCAAATCAAGCCCGAACTATCTTTGGAGGGAAAAATTTTGAATTTGAGGCTCTCTCACTTTGGCCACATCATGAAAAGGCAGGCTTTTGAGGCTGTCCCACTTTGGCCACATCATGAAAAGGCAGGCTTCTCTGGAAAAGACAATAATGCAGGGAAAGATGGAGAGCAGCAGGAAAATAGGAAGACCAAGTACAAGAGGGACTGACTCCCTATAAGAAACCACAGGCTTGAGTTTATGAGAGCTGACCAGAGTAGTTGAGGACAGAACATTCTAGAAACTGCTTATTCATAGGGTTGCCATAAGTCAGAGGTGAGTTGATGGCACATAACAAGAATGAGGAAGAGGAGTGGCCTTGAAAATACCCACCCACAGCTAACCCCCAGGGACTGAACAGGCACACAGGTTACATCGTTACATAGGTTACATGGTTTTAACCACTACAGAGCAGAATCCTACTGCTTTCTCCACTCACTTCCTTTCCCTTGTGCCTACTGGGTTAAGAAATCTGTGTGAGGGACAGGACACTAGAATGGGGAAACAGACTGCGAGATCAGTGAAAATTTGTATCTGTACTTTGGTGGGTGGGAGCTTCCACTTGATCAGAAAGCCTTTCAGCAAACAGAAAGAACCATTAGGATTCAGGTTTATTTACACAAACATTTTCTTCAGTTAATGCATTTCCATGGTTAATTACAAAAAACAATAAAACATGCAAATATTTACTCACTGTTTCCTGGCTTTCCATCACTGAAGTCAAGTATTTTTGCCTTTCAAAATAAAGAACATTTATGTTTTTTGTTATATTTTGTTATATTAATAATAATTTTAAAAATGGAACACACACAAACAAAATAAAGAACATGCAGACATTAAAGACACAATAAAATGCAGATTAATATAACAAAACATTCTAAACAGCCACAACAATAAAAACTGCAGTAATAAAATATAAGCTGGCACTCAATGAAAAGTAGCCTGCACAACCAGCTCTTTAGAAACCATCATGGAGGGGGCTATGCCTATATTCTAGTGTAAGTGATATATTTTTATGTTCCTACATAAATGAAGCAAACAAACTAAAGAGGAGTGATTGTGTGTCCTCAATAGCCAGAATCCTATTGGTGTTCACTTAAAGTTTGCCTAATTTGCCATAGCCAGTTGTGGCTAACTGATGAGTTACCAGAAGTGTGCCTTGGTTGCGCAATCAAATGCATGACTAGGCACATAACTAAGATGCACCCAAGCAGCTTGTTAATAAGCCACGATTAGCCTCCTCAAATGATGCGAGCCTTTAGTGAATACCAAAAGTATTCTGCCCAATGTAACATTTCACAACAGGTCCTCCTTTACCCTATCACAGACATGGGAACAGGTATTTATTATGTGATACGGCTTAAGGATCCTTACCTTTTGTACTTTTTGCACAGAAGCGTAATACTTGGACCACCAGTCAATTACATTTTCAGCAGATTCATCAGCAATTGTCCTCTTCTTCCTCTTGGTGGACCTCCGAATTGATTTTCTTGAATCCTAGAAAGCAAAAAGCTAGGGATAGTGAAGGTGCAAATGGCTGTAATTCCATGCTTTACAATTTAGAGACCTCTTCTGCATCCATGTAACTTTGGAGACCCTGCTGTGCCTGTGAGTAAATTCACCACTCTCCCCTTCATGCATAGGATACAGACAACATAGGAATCCCATGCAGATGGAGAGACTGGAGCTGCAGATGTGATTCTGTAGGTGAACAGGTAGCTATGACGAAAGAACAGTCTTCTTCATTTTAATGGCCCAAATCCCATAGCTTAGTGTAGTAAATTGAAGGAGAATAGATACATTAGGATTTGATGAGTCATCTCCTGGATTCAAATGGGCCTTTTCTAGCTGTGACTTGCTTTAGCATAGTAAGTCACAGTTAAGAGTAAGCTATTTGAATCAATGGCACTTAAGGAGGCGGTGACTCACTAAATTCCCATTGATTCAGTGGGCCTACCCTAGTGCAGTTTACTACATTTTTGTGTAGGCATCCTTCAGTCATGAGAGACTATCGTAACATGCTCTGAATAGAGCATCTAGTGTGGCTGAGAAGGCCAATACGAGAGTGATAATCCCTTCCACACTGAAGACAAATACAATATGTCCCCTGTCCAGCTCCCTGATTTTGTTGGTTTCAGGACTGCCTCTTTGCCTTGGCCTGCTGGACAAGGGTCTCTTCAAATTGGGAGAGGCCATGCTGCACCGCCTGCCTCCAGACTGAACACTCAAATGTCAAAGTTTACTACATTAAGCAACAGGATTTTGGCCAATATGAATGTGAATGCACACCTGCAGCAAAATAACCTGTGCGAAACTACAGAAGCAATGCTTCTGTTCAAATGAACTGAGCAGTAATGAAAAGTTCATTAAAGTAGTACTCCAGTCTTGTTTTGGGTCTAAAATGGTCTAAGCCTTGGTCCCACCCCAGCATTTGAGGATTTGACATCCTTCCACTTTTATTTATTCCTCTATTTCTTGCATGTATAAATCACATCTTTCATTTGGCAGGCTTCCAAGGTGCTCCACAATTAAGAATAATAATTAAAACTTCTATTAGAACAACAAAAAATGTAAGAAGGGTAAATAAATACATTTTGACGGTGATATTAAAACTGAAGAAGAGAACTGGCAGAAGAGAATAAAGAAGCTCTCTTGAAAAGCAATTCCACCATCAGGGAGTTACTCTCAAGGAGGCCCTTTCTTTGGGGGTTCCTACCAACCGAGCCTCTAAAGAGACTCATTTGTTGGATAGTAATTCCCACTGGCCAGGCTGGCTGGAGGGAATTCTGAAAGTCACAGTCTAAAAAGTAGCTTTTTCCAAGCTCTAAGACCACGCAAACGATCTTCCAACAGTGACTGGAAATTGTGGCAATTTTATATGGAAAGAGGTGGTTCTTCACAAATTTTGTTTGAATATTTGGCCCATGAAATTATTTAAGAGATCCTCATTAGGAGGATCTTGAATTCTCCCAGTCTCTGCTGATGATGTCTGATATGCCATGTTGAGGCTAAAACCTTGTATGGACAGATCTATTTTACCTTATGTGTGACGTACCTGCAGTTGTTGCATTGTTTAACAAAACTGAGATATATTGCTTCCAGTTTGTGAACTGGATTCCTCTCCACAGTCTAATTAACTGAAGGAGATAGACACCCATCCTTTTGGAGATCAACACCTTATCCTGAACAAATCCTAAATCATAACAAAGATTGTGCACCATAATATTGAAGGCTCTGCAACATGCACAGACTTATAAGATGAAGAAGCCAGAGAATGCAATACTTCTTACTTTCAGTTTCCCATCTTTTGTAGGCTCTGTGGTAGGAGTTGTAGGTTTCAGTGCAGGTGCTGGTGTTGGGACAGGCGGTGATGATGGAACACCAACTACTGTCGGCTCAGGGACTGCTGAGACAGGTGTACCATGTTCTACGTCAATATAGACATGGTCTGTTGGGGCCTCTTGAGGTGATGGAGGTTGAACTGGTCCTGGAGCAGATGGACCTGGAAGCCAAATCAGACAGAGAATTAGATGAACAAGTGAGGAAAGAAAACCTAGGAAAAGAAATTTATGGCATACGGATAGGAGAATACTGAGATAATGGAAACATCGTTTTCTTTTTTGCTTTTTTGTAAGATAATTCATAAAATTATTAGTCCTAGGATTCCATAGGTTGTTTATATTTATTGTATGAAGCTGTCATACATAATCATTTCACTGACAACCATTTTGGATTTTATTTTTTTTAAAGGAGGAAAAAGACAGAATGAACAATAGATTTACATCTCTTATTCCCTTGGTGACTGTACTTTGTGTGAAATCAATAGCCCTAGCAAGTTGATGTACATCTTCCTGTGCTTTAGTCAAACAAGTTATCTAAGGATGTGACTACTGTACACTGGGAATACTTGATTCACAACCTGCATTATGTTTCAGATCACAGTCAGTTAAGTCTACACAGAGGTTGTATATTGATCCAGGAATTCACTTTTCACACTGGATGTGATTTACGTACATTTCAGCCCACAGCCTGCCCTTCCTTCCTTCCCAGCCCACAGCCTTGCCTTGCCTTGCCTTGCCTTGCCTTGCCTTGCCTTGCCTTGCCTTGCCTTGCCTCGCCTCGCCTCGCCTCGCTCCCTCCCTCCCTCCCTCCCTGTCCTGTCCTGTCCTGTCCTGTCCTGTCTCTGCCAATCCTAGTTTGGGGAACTAACTGGGATGTAATACAGGAAATAATCATAACAGTGACTCAGCAATAAGGTGATAGGGTGATTCAGCGCTTACCTCATACACGTAAGATTTTTAAAAACATTTTAAAAATTCAGTGTATGGTTGGAAAGAATGTGGGAGGATATTTCCTTGCTCTTGAATATCATGTCCCAGCTACCAATATCATCGAAATATCACCTATGGGCAAGCCCCCATCTTTACAATACCATGCGCGCAACCATTTCGGGGCTTCCGGCAGGTGATTCAGCGCTTACCTCATACACGTAAGATTTTTAAAAACATTTTAAAAATTCAGTGTATGGTTGGAAAGAATGTGGGAGGATATTTCCTTGCTCTTGAATATCATGTCCCAGCTACCAATATCATCGAAATATCACCTATGGGCAAGCCCCCATCTTTACAATACCATGCGCGCAACCATTTCGGGGCTTCCGGCAGCGTTTTCGCGCGCTCCCCTTGCTTACCAAGGGCGCGAAAACGCTGCGCCCCGGCCCCTTTCGGCTGTTCCAGTGGCCATTTTGGACCCACCGGACAGCTGATGGCAGCCATTTTGGCGCCCTCGTTGTGCGAGGGGAGGGCGCGAAAATGGCTGCCGGCCCCTGGGAAACATCGCACTACGGTGAGTATTCTATGGCATTGAGTATTCTATGGCATTGGAACGCATTAAACGCTGTTTAATGCGTTCCAATGCCTTTTGGTGTTCCGTAGTGCGATGTTTCCCACAGCGAAGGTTAATCCGGAACGGATTAACCTCGCTGTGCGGGGCACCACTGTACTGAACTGGAATTCCGATTATCCCTCCTCATTGGCTAGGCTAGCCTAGGATTCATGAGGACTGCAGTTCAACAACTTCTCGAGGAACACATGTTCTCTGCCCATCTCATAATACAACCTGAGGACTTGAGCTGTGAGATTCGCTATCAAGTCAGACTTAAGTCCCACTGGTCATTCAACTTGGGTCTGTTTGTTTTTCTAATTACTCAGACTTGACCCGTGACTCAGAACCTATCCACCCCTCCTTTTTTTTCTAGGGAAAAATGCTTGTTTTTTTTGTAGGCACTTGGGTTTGGAGCTTAGGACTTGGACTTGGTACCAAAGACTGGGACTCAGACTTGGGACAAAAGACTCGGACTTGGGACTTGGAGGCAAAGACTTGCCAACATCCCTGCAATTCTGAAATAAAGAAAGCTATACGAAAACCATGCAGAAAATTGTAGCTCACGTCTGCAGAAAAGAAAGGAAACTCTCGGGAGCACTTGCTTGCGACATCTCACCTTCATCAATTTCTATAATCTTGGCTGGTTTTGCTGCCGAAGCAGGCAGTTCTTTTGGCTTATATAAAAACTGCTTGAGGCAATTGATGGTGTGTGTCCCCACCAGAGTACTGCGGCCAAAGGCCCTCCAGTCAACCACGCAGATGCTGAGGGGAGGGTGCAGTAATTCATTTTCAGGCAGTTCCTAGTAGACAAAGAAAAAGTCCAACCATTTACAATCTCTTTTTTCTTCTTTTTTATGAGGTACTTACCAGAGCTTAGTCAAGAGGCCTGCTGAGGATTTTATTTTCACTTGTGATGTGTTTTCTATCTAACATCTACAGATGTACAAGAAGTCTTTGAAATATGATTATAGAATAAAATGGGCAGGCTCTCTCCTTTAATAAATTTCAGCATTCTTATTAAACTGCCCTCAAAATACCTGCTGTATTTTTAAAAATATATTATACGTCTGTCCTCCACACAGCTCCCTCTGAACACTGATCAGAACCTCTTAGCCACAGCAATGCTTGAATGACAGATTCCCCTGAACAATTAACAGGGCCCCAAATCTCACCTTGTTATAACTTTTTTAAAAATACTTTTTATAATTTCATGATCACGTGATATATTTTTGTGTGTAAGTCTTTACAAGGGGTGAATTAGAGAAACAGAGGCATACCAGACAAGTACTGTACTACTTTTTATATTTGGCAAATCTTGCTACACAATTTTCAGAAATTTCTCTGCTTAGAAAAAGGTTTGACATAGGTCAGAAGCAGCATGTGATTATTTATTATGCAGTGCTGCAGGCTTTCTAATAAAAATGGTTTCACTTTTTTTCTTTAAAAAAAAAGTTAACTACCATGTCATATATACGTACCACTTCAAACCAATCTGCCAGGACATTAAAATTTGGATTATTTTTGTAGCTCTGGATGACACATGATTTCACCCCTTTGCTAGCACACTCTATGAGGACTTGAGGGCGATCTACAGAAAGAAGCTGCACCTTCTTCAGTTCACGAAGGCCCCAAAACAAAACCTAGAGCAGAGAGCAGTGATAATATTTATTTAGTTAGTTACAAGATTTTTAGCCGCGCCATTACCAGTTGTCTCTGCGTGGCGTACAACAATATTAAAACTTTGAAAACATTAAAACCATTAAAAATGGGCAATATTATAATAATATCCTATATTTAAAACAATCATTAAAACATTAATATTAATAAATAAATTTGCACACATATATAATTCATTTCTCATGTTCCAAAAGTTTGGTACATGTTATCTGAATAATATTTACAACAGCATTCTTGGAAGAAGAATAAGATTTACACCAAAGAACACATGTGTTTTTGCCAAAGATATAACAGATTGATACAGTTTCTGCAGAACACGGTGTAGAAAACTCGACATACTGCATTTTTAGTACATGTATTGAATTTCTCTCTGACTCAGAAATGTCAGAGAGAATGTGTTGTCCCAATTTGGGGTCGAAGCCAGGTTTTCACGGAACTTATTGACTCATCTTTATGTCAGTCACGAAGCCACATCTTTCCCCCACTCTTGAAGGCCAGCCTGTGTATACTTCTGGTTACCTTAAAGTAGAATTTCTGCCCTGTCTCTCTTCTTGAAGTGATTCATAAAATTCAAGACATTCTCTCTACGTGTGTCTAACTTTTTTTTAATGTGCTAAATATCTGACTTGAAAAATGTAAGTGGAATGTCCACCTTGACCTGGGAGTCAATGACACTTATAGATTTGGAAATGGAGTTGTTTCATTATTTTAGGTGTAAAGGTGAGGAAAATGGAAATCATGGAACAATTAAGAAAATAAAAGTCCCCCTCAATGAATGTATGTAGCCTAATGCAACACAGACTCTTCAGTGAATGTTGCAGGTACAGACTTGGAAGCGTTATTCTTTGTTAACTTACCTCTATTCTGTATTTACTTAGAACAGGTCTGATGTTGACTGGTACGGGATAGATTAGGCTGGCATCTGGAGGATCCATGGGTGGGAGGTCTTCAGGACCAGAATCAGGGATCTGTAAAATGACATTATCTCAGTCTTTCACTATTTAATTGTGTCTTTAAAAGAGAATGGAGTTTGTCTTGCAATTCTCACTGCTGCACATTCTTTGTAACAATAGAGCAGGTACAACTTTAGTTTACAGGAATGATGGAGTTTGTCTAGCAATTCTCACTCTTTGTAACAATAGAGCAGGTACAACTTTAGTTTACAGGAATCAGATGTATAAATATTTCCACTCATATCATAACAGGAACAGGCATAAGCAGGAATCAGATATATAAATATTTCCACTCATATCATAACAGGAACAGGCATAAGGTGGTCTGATGTCACTCAGCTTGGAAGACGTGTTTACTGAAAGATCATTATTTGTTCTTGCTAACTTACATAGTCACACACCTTTACACTTTAATACATTCTGCCTTGCAGTCACAACAATTCCTGCTGAAATCACATCTGCAATTCAAATAACACTTTAGAATCAATGACTAATAAGGGTCTGCTTCACACAGTCCCTTCCATCTGTTGCAACAATAAATATTCTGGAGTCCCTTGGGCTTTTTCTATTTACTGCAGCTTAAATTAGGCAGAAACTTTGGAAGTTGGTTAAAAGGCTTTAGAGAGCTAGACTGCTGTATAGAGAAAAAAAGAGACAGAGTGCAAAATCTCTGGAAGCCGTTTCGTTATGTCATCTTTTTGAACCACAACTCCCAGAATGCCATACTCAACACAACAACTAACCATGCCAACAGGCGAATTCTTGGAGTTGTAGTCCCATAGTAACTTTTCCAAGCTCTGCTTACTTAATTGTCTAAATCACTGCTTCTTAACCTTTGTCACTCAACACAACTAACCATGCTAACAGGAGATTTCTGGAGTTGTAGTCCCATAGTAACTTTTCCAAGCTCTGCTTACTTAATTGTCTAAATAATGACTAAATCAACCTGGAAAAGGCCATTCATTTGATCATGGCCATTATATTTTCACTGGCTTGTTACTGGAAAACATCCAGTGTTCTCCAGCCCACATCAAATCTTACTAGTTCTTGACAGTTTGGGAGAAGGTGGCCACCATTTTAATTATTGGCTCCTTTGTTTCAACACTTACACCCCCAACATTCTATGATAAAAAAAAATCAAACTCTAGGCATTTTACAAACAAAACTGTAAATCACATTAGCTGAAGCAATCCTTACAGCAGGATGGGAGGTAAAAAAAAAAATAGGAGAAGAACAGTAGAATGAAAAACAGTCAGCAATAGAAACGGTCACAAATTGGTTGGGATGACAGCTCAACATATGTTCCGAGGGTCCGTGTCCTGCCCCCCTCCAGTGGACACCCACTCAGAAGCACCAATAGAAACGGTCACAAATCGGTTGGGATGACAGCCCAACATATGTTCTGAGGTTCCACATGCTGCCCCTTCCAGTGGACACCCACTCAGAAGCAACGCCCAGAAGAGGTGGTAAAAGGAAGCCAGGGAGCTGCCTCTGAGTAGACCCCCACCAGAACAGGCGGGGCTCTGAACAGCAGAACATCTGTTGGGCCATGGTCGAAACTGCTGAACCAGCTGTTCATGGCCATCTTTAGTCACTGACAGAAGACTAGCAGAGGTGTTCTGACCCAAGGAAAAGGCTATACTGCTCCATCAGCAGAATGGCACCTCAACTTCAGGAATGGTCACTTGAAAGCTCTTAGGCACCAAGATGAGGCAGTCCCGGGGTGGCCTGAGATCTGCTGAATCAACAGCCCTATTGCTTCACTGAAAGTCCTCCAAATTAAGGTGCTCAACTCAACCAGTTTAAAACAAAAATGCCAAAAAGCCCTTGCACCCAGCCTGCTCTCCTGGTCACAATGAACTGTCAGAGCTTTCTGGCCAGCAGGCAAATTGTGTGTGTGACATACCATCAAGGTGAAAAACTGTTGTGGTTTGAATACAAGAAAAATGCAATACTGTACCATCAAAATAGTAGTGCTAAGTGTGACACAGACACGTTTATGGTGCAAATTAAAAACAAAAACAAAAACAACACAGAGAATATAGAAAGGACTTAGGGCATCAAACTTCATGATTTAGGAAGTTTCATCGTGACAAATCTTGGAAATGGTTGTTGTGGGTTTTTCGGGCTCTTTGGCTGTGTTCTGAAGGTTGTTCTTCCTAACGTTTCGCCAGTCTCTGTGGCTGGCATCTTCAGAGGACAGCACTCTATGCTCTGGTGCTGTCCTCTGAAGAGTGCTGTCCTCTGAAGATGCCGGCCACAGAGACTGGTGAAACATCAGGAAGAACAACCTTCAGAACATCCATTGTCATAGGACTCCTAACAGTTTTTCCTGATATTCAACTGAAATCTGGCTTCCTGTAATTTAAGCCCATTATTATGCATCCTGCACTCTGAGATGATCAAGAACAGATCCTGGCTCTCCTCTGTGTCACCTTTCAAGTATCTGAAAAGTGCTATCATATCAGCCTTCTTTTCTGAGCTCTGGAGCATGTGGTGTACTCGCATGCACACTTTCTGCACTCATGCATGCAAATTTATTCTCACTTCTCTTCCCAGAACTAAGCAGACTGCCTCATTAGGCTGGTAGTCATGCCAATTTGACCATGGTTAGCTTAGCATTTCTTGTCTGCAAGCTGGATTAGAACCTTGTTTGTAACTCCTGGCTAACTCCTATGTGCCAAGATGAGTCACTTTAGGATCACAGAATTACATTTTGCTGCTGAATCCATACAGAACTAGACCCACAATCGAGGTAGTATACCCACTGTCACTTTCACAGCTGTAAACAGGGTCCTCAAATTTCAGCCATCTGCCACAAAGGTTTTTTTTTCTGTAAACAAAATAATCTTAAAATATCTATAGACTATTGGATCTTATTCTATCCTAGCCAATATAATGCATAAATGCCGACTTAAGGTTGATTCATCCTTCTAAGTTTGGTAAACTGAGTCCCCAGCTCGCTGGGGGTGGGGGCAATCTGTAGCCTGCATAATTAAATTGTAAACTACCCAGAGAGAGATGTAAGCATTATGTGGCAGTATATAAGCAGCAAATGTTGCTTTGCTTTGGTCTGATTGTTAGGAGGTTGGCGCCATGAGGAGGAGATTAAAAAATTCCTCCATTGATGGGGTGAGTGATACTGGTGATCACTGGAGTCAGAAAACAGTCTGTCAAACAAGAAATCAAACATCGTTATATTTTATCTGATTTTATTTCATTCGTTTTCTACTTTGTGTTTCTTGGCTCCAAGTGTTTGCACATGCAGTTCTTTACACACAAACAGTTTTTTTGAACTTGGCACCCTAATTCTTGGGAAGGGGCAGAAATTACCCCAAAATGCACATAATGAACATTTTTTCTATCCTAGCACATGAGTGTTTAAACTAATCTTGTTTAACGAGGTTTTGCGAAGGAGCCTCACTACAAATTTGTGATTTGGAACTATTTATACTTCTGGTTAACATTCACACGGAGAGTGTGTGTGAGACACCAACAGGCTTAAGGGACTGAGAAAATTTTATCTGAGTTAGAGAATATCATATCTGAACTGGTAATGATGTGGTTTTCCAGTACGTTTAGTGTAAATTCCACTTTTTCAGACTGTAGCACCACTTACATAACCTCGTACAGTTTATGAGACACAAGGCTACAGAATGAAGACAGCAACTGAGTCAATACATAATAAACATCTAATTACACAAAGACTTCCCACTGGAGGCGAAATAATCTAATTGTTACTGCACACAAATGAAAGGGTATTCAAAGTGCTTCAAAGTTATAAAGCTGAATTATTACTTCTCCAAAGGTTAAGGGGCGTTCTTGAGGGACACATAAACTTTTCATTTTCTGCTCCTATCAAATGAGTTCCATCTGTTTTTTCTTTCTTTCTTCTTCTTTAATGACTGAGATAAGCCAATGGGAACTTTTATAGCTGTCTTTTACACCTTCATGGAACAAAAAGAAGACATGCCTAAATATACTGGTGAACTACAGCAATGGAGAATAGTGAGAACATTACAGAAAGGGCAGTGAATCGTATCACGTACTGTACAGCAGCATTCCCCAACCACCGGTGGGCCAGACTGGGCCACCGAGAGAGACCTCCTGCCGCCCCCCATGCGCACTCACCCTCGCACCACCCATTTGCGCCTATGCACGCACTCCAGCATCCCTGCATGAGTGCCGCACTGCCATTTGCGCATGCGCATGGGCGTGCACGGGCCTGCATGAGCGCGCTCCATTTGTGCATGTGAACGGGGGCTTGCACACATGTGCAAAAATGGCAGCATGTGCTTGTGCGGCCCTGCGTGCAAGTGGAAATGGTGTCATGGCGCTTGTGCAGGCGCGAGCATGCCCATGCAAGAGCGAGTGTGTGCTTTTTCATGCATGCACGTGAGCGCGGGGGGTGCCCCGCCTTCCCCAGCCGGTCCGCGGACCGGAAAAGGTTGGGGAGCGCTGCTGTATAGGACAACCTAAATTGAGAAAAATTCCCACAGTTGCTGTAAGTAAACAGAGAAAAAACTTTCCGGACTTTTTGCTCAGCCACAAAGCACCTTCTAGTTAATTTGCAAGGACAGGTAAACAAATTATCTCTGTCCAAGATAACATTTTGCAGTCGTTTGTCTATAAATACATTCTATCCCATCCCACATTAATCTGAATTTTCTATAAACAATCTGAACAAAATTTTACATTTAATACATATTTCAATAGGAATTTCTAAATTATTTGCTCTCCACACAAACAAAACAAAACTTTAAAGTTCCATCCTATAGTCCCCAGGAGAATATCCCAGCATGTATAAAAATCCTGCAGAGCCTTTTCTCTGCAAGTCAGCAAGGATGACTGTAGCACAATAAGAAGATGCTCTCCAAGAAGCCTCCTCCTTCTGGTGGACATCATCCCATCATTCTGGCCCTTCTGCTAGTGGCATTAGAATGAGGGGGGGGGAGAATGGGCCAGATGCTCCTTCTCTGAGAACACTCTCAAGGGAGATACCTATGTCAACTCTAGGGCTGATGTGATGAAAAGATCATTGCAGTCTTGAATTCAGACATAACCTGTTCTCTACCGTATCTTTTCCATACTTGACATGAGCAAGAGGCTATTTTCTCTCAAAATATGTACACATTAGAAATGTACATTTTTTTAAAAAACAACAACAACAGAACTTGAAACACTTGGAAAATTCTAGAACAGTGGTTCCCAAACTATGGGTCCCCAGAGGTTCTTGGACTACAACTCCCAGAAATCTTTGGTCAGGTCAGCTAGTGTTGAAGGCTTCTGGGAGTTTTAGTCCAAGAGCCTCTGAGGGCCCACAGTTTGGGAACCACTGTTCTAGATCAATGGCAACTGGTACCTATCAGGACTGATAGAATAGAGGGGCCAACCAACCAGTAAATCTTCACATGTTAGCAACCCCACCTGCTATTCCAAGAAGCAAATGAATGCTTATTCACAACAAACTGAGTGTACAGTATGCACGCACGCACACGCGTGCGCGTGCACACACACACACACACACACACACACACTCACAAACACACAAACAGCACCAGCAGAATGTCTACGGAATAAGAGGCACATGGTGGGACAGTACAGTGATTATTAGGAGCAATATTCTCAATCACTAGGTGTGGGGGTACCCAGTCCACAGGCCATTTTGTAGTCGTCAACTCCCCTGCGTACAACCAAATTTTAAAAATACAGTATTTTTAAAAGCACACACACATATAGATGCTCCTTTGTGTTCTCTAGGACACTGGGAGTGGGCAGGTTTTGCCATGTCTAACCTTCTTCAAGCATCCCAGCATATCCCTAACATATTTTTTGGCCATTTTATTGTTGTTTTAAAGTGACTAGTTGTGGTTGTGTTCCATACTCTTAGGGCTTGGCTGGTTTTGTGCAAATCTTGTTGATTTGTCGTGGGGGAGATTCTGACTCGGAGGACTCTGCTGGTGGTTTATCACACAGTTCTTGAATAAAACCTGTTCTTTATGTGGGCATTGAACCTGTACCACCATGTTTAAGAGGCAAGTATTAAAATAATGTGCATCTCCTTTTTTAATGCATATGCATTTTAAAATCCATGTTGTGCATATACCATAAGGTGCTTCTTCCTGTCTTGCTTTTTTTCATGTAATCACCAGTAAAAATAATGCTTAAGTAGTTATTCTGAGTTTACCTGCAGCAGCTCAAATGCAGAAAGGAGATCGCCTCCAGAAATATTTCCACAGTATATAGGGTGGTAACTGAGTTTAGGTGGTTCATATTTCTCACCAACCAATGTAGTTACAGGGGCAGCTACAGTGGAACCAATATATTCTGATTTTCCCTAAATAAAAAGAATAACTTAATGTTATTTACTGCATATTCTAATGATCCTGATAATTAAACTTAGCAATATACAGGCGGGCTTTTTAGTTACACAATATTATTACCAGTGAGGTAATGGAGCTAGGATGACTCACATGTTCAGAGTGTCAGGACCTTTTCAATGAGTAGAGACAATCACCTCATCTCCTTCCCCACATTTTATGCCTTCCAGTTTCTTCTGAGTCAGCTGCAACCCTCTGGGTAGGAAACTTGTATTTTGACATAGTTCCTTTTGCATTGGAAGCTATTATAGGGTTACCTGATCTTAAAGAGGCAATTGGAACTCTCTAGCTTTACAGAAGACCTATTCTTGGTGAGCATGAAAATTCCTGGGATTGATCCGTCAGTCACTCAACTACCTGCATTTCGGAATGGTCCTTGCAGATATGGTTGTCATCATGAGTGGTTACACGTCAGCATTTATTGCAATGCCAAGGAATTTTTGGGTGGCCAAAGTCATGAGTGGTTACACGTCAGCAATGCCAAGGAATTTTTGGGTGGCCAAACGCAAAAGGGGACGAGGCACCCACACCTCTAACTGTTGTGTGGAAGAAAGAATTTCAGCAGGTGTATTTTTCAATGACAAGCAAGTTCCCTCCTCCTGGGGTCATGAAGATAAAAACGCATATGTGACAGAATCTGGAAATACTTCCGAAACTAGAGTGCGGAAGACTTTCAATAGTGAAGGGGGAAATTCCCATTTCGTTAATATGTTCTCATTCTTTCCAGAAAAATAGCATAATGTACGTCAAATGACATATTAGAATTTAGATTTCACCATCTTTTACCTGTAACTTTAGCCTCAACTAGTTTTGATGGACTTTAACCTCAACCAATAGCCAACTGGTTCTGTTCTTGTTCCATAACCTATACACCAAATTCCGGGCTGTGCTCCAAACCATCAGGCCTCTCAAGGCTGTGCTCCTAACCTGTCAGACTATTTTATTTCCATCTGCACTAGCTCAGCTTCCATCAGCCTAGTTGGGAGGTGAGTGTTTCTAAAAATCCAAATTTGGCCATTGCAGTGGATAGAAAGGTCAATCCTGTCTTGTTTTTCTTATCTTGGACAGAAACTGAAGCCATTGTATGAAACATATCTAATTGTACATGGTTTGTTCATTTTCCATGGCAAAGGGGTCAGAAATGGGCACACACAGTTACAAGATACCTTTAAAATCATTGCTCTGTCCAGTAATATCTACCGTAAGGCAGACATAGGCTGAAATCCATAGCAGGTTGCAACTAGAACAGGCCATTTAATCCATGGGGATTTGGTGAGCCATCTCCTCCAGTCTTCAAATGATTCAGTGAATCTGCTCTAGTTGCAAATTACTGCTGGATTTCCGCCATAGTGTGGTGACTTCACAAGGTATTAGCTTAATAAACAAACAAACAGAAAACTTATTCATTTGGACCACAGCTGCCAAAATGGTGCTGGGATATTCTGTAGGTTGCAGTCAAAAAAGAGGAACTTTTCCTCACTCAGATAAAAAGCAAGGAAAGCTTCTTACCACAGCATCATCATCATATAGCTCTATAACAACCACTGGGGGGAATTCTGCGATTTCTTTCCCATCTCCATGAAGCAGAATGTTATTAAAAAGCAGCATCTGATTCCAGGTGGGAGATAAAGTTTGCTGAATGATCTAATGAAAAGAAAAGTGGAGTGTTGATTACAGTGTTGATATGAACAGCAAAAGGGCTACACTTTTTTAAGGAATACCAAAAAAGAATAAAATACTGTTTTCTACTGAGGTAGAATAGCCATTTTCAGCCAATAATACACAGCTTTGTTGTTGAAGATACCTTTCTGTCTTTAACCTTGTCCATTCTCATTTGAGAGAGGAGATAATTTCAGGCAACTTTAGCAATGTTGGAAGTAAAGAGGCCTTGGTCATCCTATCCATCTTGCCTTTTCTAAATCACCCTTTGTTTTGCAAATTGCTCTGTTTCTTCAAGGAAATTAATTAGCAGCTACTGTATTTCCCTTTCTTTAGAGGAAGAGCCACATACATGTTTTTTTTTGCTTCATAATTACGGTATGCACAGAAAGGAGGGCATCTGTAATCTGTAACTTTATAGGGGAGTTTACCCCTTTCTGCATTATCTTTCAATAAATTTCCTGAAGTAATAAACACAAGTTTCCTGAACATGAGTTTCTGGAGCAGCTACTCCTATTTCATAGCCAGAAGCTCTCAGGACTATTCTTTTGCAGTCTGACAGCAGAAATTACCTCAGTTTTGTTTTTGTTTTACAGCCAGGAGTCTATTAAGTCAGCACCCTTGATGCAACAACCTTCTCTTGCCCCACCCCAAATCTCACAGGACTAGTCTATTATATTCCCAACCACTACAAATTGTCTCTTTTGCACTCTGACAGCAGAAATTACCTCAGTTTTTTTTTTTTTTTTTACAGCCAGGAGTCTATTAAGTCAGCACCCTTGATGCAACAACCTTCTCTTGCCCCACCCCAAATCTCACAGGACTAGTCTATTATATTCCCAACCACTACAAATTGCCCTATAAACAGCTATTTATCCAACATCTTCTAACACCTGCATGCACCAGAAGATTGTCTCTGTGTTCAAAAGGGGTTTCTCATGTCTGAAAATGTGGATTTTATCCACCAAGGCTCACATTGCAATAAATCTCTTTGTCCTAAAGACACTGCAATACGTTGTTGCTTTTTGCCTTGTTTCTGATATGGCCCCTTCTCTCAAAACAGTGACTATCTTCCCCCACGCCCGCCTTTACCTTTGTGGTCTGGCAATGCGAAACAAAAGTCACTTTAGCAAAGGGGTCTGAAAGTCCGGTGCTGTCGGCCGCAATCAGCCCCCTGGCCTGGTACATGTGAGCTCTCAGCTGGAAGACATTCTTGGCTATATAAACACAAGAAGGAGAAACACAGGAGAGCCAACATAGTACAGTGGATCGAGTGTTAGACTAGGACTCAGGAGACTTGGTTTCAAAGAGAGCCAAGATAGTACAGTGGATTGAGTGTTAGACTAGGACTCAGGAGACTTGGTTTCAAATCACCTCACAGCCATTTGCCCACCCTGCTGCAATGGTAAACCGCTTTCTTAGACATCACTTATATCTCCAAATTCCTGTTAGCATTGCCATAAACCAGGACTGAATTGAGGGCGTAAAACAATAATGGAGGATGATTTGGGAGATAGTACAGTGGATTGAGTGTTAGACTAGGACTCAGGAGACTTGGTTTCAAATCACCTCACAGCCATTTGCCCACCCTGCTGCAATGGTAAACCGCTTTCTTAGACATCACTTATATCTCCAAATTCCTGTTAGCATTGCCATAAACCAGGACTGAATTGAGGGCGTAAAACAATAATGGAGGATGATTTGGGAGTCACAGCCATTTACCAACCTTGCTGCAATGGTAAACCACTTTCTTAGACATCTCTTCTATCTCCAAATTCCTATTAGCATTGCCATAAACTAGGACTGAATTGAGGGTGTAAAACAATAATGGAGGATGATTTGGGAGTCGTCAAAGCAGTTCATCAGCATTTAGCAGAGATGCATCATCGATCTGGAAGAAACCTGAAATCTCCACCAACCCTCTGCCAGTCAAGGAAATCCTCAGGTGGACATCAAGGCACTCCCTACAAACTCCTAACAAAGGCGAGTCTACCGTCCTTCAAGGCAGTCAGTTCTATTGCTGAACATCTTGCCCTATCAGGACATTTAATTTAAAATCCTCTTTCAGTGTCAATCTATCAGTTCAACTGGCGCAAGAGGGGGAAAAATATTTTAGCCAGAGTCTGTGAAGTTAGTTTTTGGACTCTAAAGAATTTTTTTACATCCAAGCCTCTTTGATGATCTGAATTACTGTCAAAACTCAAAGCAAGAGCCAGCAATTCTAATCCTAGACCATGTTGATACAAATAGTGCCCATAAAATATGGCACACTTCCAGTTTGATCTTCTGCATGCAATTCAACAGTTTGCTCTGCTTATTTTAGTGGGATTCTTCTGCAGGAGATTCTGCAAGACTCTTCTGCAAGAAAGCCCCACATGATGCTGAACAACTGCTAATCCCAGCCAACTTCCTGCAGCCCTAGATGCTTTGATACACACAACTATATTGTAAAACATGGATTAACAGTGATGTGCCAGAAACCAAATTCAGCACATGATCCATAGGATTTTCAGGTGTACACTGGAAATAAACAATAGCACCAGATCTAGGTTCTCCCACCCCACCCACTCTGCCAAACTGGTTGTCAGCAGGTCCTCATGGTGTTGTTAAAGAAAAGATGAACCCAGTGTGATATAGCAGTTAGGATGTTCAACCAGAACACACAATATCAGAATATTTGTCCATGCTGTGCCATTAAACTTACTGGATGACTTTAAACCAGCCATTCTCTCTTAAGCTGCCGTACCTCACATTCAGTCATTAAAGTCCTTTCCAGAAACTCTTTGTTTTGAAGTTTGACAACTGACTGAATTAACTAACAAACCAACAAATGACATACTTCTCAGCATTTTAAGATAGCAAATTAAATCCCCTTAACTGTTTAATGTCAACATCCTGGCCCTACCTCATTCCCAAGCTCTGGATTTGATGGTGAGGTAGGGAGGAAGAGAAAGATGGTTGCCACCTAGAGCTTAATGGAAGAAGAGTGAGGTATAGATGTAACCAACAAGGGAATGGATGGGATGTGCAATGCCTTGTATGCGCAAGAGAGAGAAAAATGCAAACTTCCAAAGCAATGTCTTTTGCTGTTTATAAAGATTATCTCCATACTTCCAGTACAGTAAGGGGGGAAAACACCCCATCTGCTGGATTAGCACCCACGGATTCACTTATTTGCTGAAAATCTTAAATAAAAACCCACAGAAATACCTATTTATAGGTATTTCCATGGTGTATTTACCAGAACGAGCCACTAGAGGAGGTCACTGACAAGGCTACGTATGGCGTTTGCTATTTCCTCATTTTTTGGTGTCTGTGGGGAGGGGGCTTGAAACCAATCTCCTGCGGATATCAGAGTCCGACTGTAGTAGCACTTTACTGTGAAGAAAACTCAACTAGGCCATACAGATATTTATTTTTATTGATTAATTATGTTTATATTCGACCTTCCTCCCTTAAGCTCATACGTGCAAAGGGTTCCCCTCTTTCCTACTTTGGCCTCACAAACACCTTATGAGGTAGGCCAGTGCAAAGGGTCTCATGGCCTCACAAACACCTTATGAGGTAGGCCATGATGAGAGCGTCCCAAGGCAGAAATCAATCCATGAGTTTTATGGCTCAGCATGGGTGAAGACACAGATCTCCTAAATTCCCAGTTCATCATCATAACTAGTACACTATTCTAGCTTTGACCTTCCTCTATTTCACATCCTCTTCTAAGTTCAGGGTCTTACTTTTGTAGACCAGGCTGACAGGAGGAGCAGTAGCATGCGATCCTGCACTTGCTGAGGAAGGTACTTCTGTCTCATAACCAACAGGCAAGTTGTCCAAAATGGTGTGAGAGTATTTGGCAGAACCAAGCCATAAATATGTGTCGACTTTTCCATGGACGTTCCAACCAGAAGGCCGTTTCCCCGGTAGCTGAAGGAAGGAAAGAAGGACCAGCGAAGGTCATGTGCAAGCCAGAGGATAGGATACAGTAGATTTACTGCTAAGTCTGTCTAATATCAGGGGCCAAAGAAGACAGGATAGTATTCACATAATTAGTAGTAGTTGTATGTATGTTGGAAGTAAACAAGGGCAAGAAATATAATCTGGTTGTTAGGTTGCTTTGGAAGAAGAATTAACCCGTTGGTACCTGGTAGGGTTCCAATCTGGATTAGACCTCTTATGTTTGCTTATTTATATGCCAATGCACATAGTAAGCACTGGGGTAGGAGGAGGCAGTGATGGATGTGGACCTGGACTGCAATGAAGGGCAAAGGGTGCAACCAGCCTTATTTCATTCCCATTGAATGCAAACTACTGGGGTTCCCTTGCCTTCTCTTTATTGGTTGTAAAATGCAATTACTAATTTAAGGTCAAAATCGACAATATGTTTAACACCTTTTTAGAAGAGGTGCTCCCTCCAGTTGTGAAAAATGTCTGTTTGTTATAGCATGTGATTGTCCTTATCTTTGTATCTTGCATTCAGTACACTTTTTTTTATTGTCAGGAGATAATAAGAAGCTCAACCTGGGCTCCATTTGCAATTATTATTGTTTGGACATGTTATCACAGAGGAAATCTGTGTGGGAAGAAAAATGGGTTACCTGCAGAGAATACCCTTTGACATGCTGGCTGGAATATTCTGGAAGTCTTAGTTCAAAAAAAATGACATTTCTCTGTGACAGGTCAATAAAATATTTACTAAATATCCAGATACATCCAGCAAGAAACAACAAACATTTTAAGAGCCTCAGAATACTTTTCCTCTCAAACTGTGTATAAAATAACTCCAGCTCTCACCGTTGTTTTGGTAATAAGGAAATGAAACCTTCCCGTTGTTATGTAACAATAAATGTTTGCTTTACTGGGCTTATTTTTAGGTCTGCCAGAGTGGATAAATGTGTCTGGGAAGACAGGGTCTCTTAAACTTTGTATTTTAATCAAAGAATAAACAGTATACCCAGCCTCCAGAATGGGCTCTTTGACAGGTGTGTGAAGAAAATGCCTCAGAGATTTATTCTGATGAGTAAATAGATATTTTGGAGAGGAAATAACACTTTCATTTCAGTTTTTCATCAGCTACTGATTAAAACGCTCAGCTTAATTATGACTGCCATTTGACAAAACCTGGAAGAGACAGCTTATGGGCAATTATTTTCAAAAGTCCATATGTTCCCATCCTTACAATGAATATGTTATAAACATTTAACCAAGTAATCAACTGTAACTAGGAAGAATTCTCCTCCCTTGTGTTTTCTAAATTCTCCCCGGATCACAGATTATCATTGTAGGTAAAGGTTCTCCTTGACATTTAGTCTAGTCGTGTCTGACTGTAGGGCATGGTGCTCTTCCCCGTTTCCAAGCCATAGAGCCAGCGTTTGTCCATAGACAGTTTCCATGGTCATGTGGCCAGCGCGACTAGACACGGAATGCTGTTACCTTCCCACTGAGGTACTACCTATTTATCTACTCGCATTTACATGCTTTCGAATTGCTAGGTTGGCAGGAGCTTGGACAAGCGACGGGAGCTCACTCCGTCACGTGGATTCGATCTTACGACTGCTGGTCTTCTGACCCTGCAGCACAGAGGCTTCTGTGGTTTAACCCATAGCACCACCACATCCCTTAAGAAGACATAGACTATCGTAATAAGGCTGAGTGAAGAAATACCAGTATTTCTGGGGCAGCTTAAGACACTTTGCTGCCTGAATTTAGGGAAAAGATGGCACTCTCCCTTCCACTCTACAGGGGCTGACTGCTCTGGCTGCTGCCTCTTACATCCATTCCTCTGATTGACGGGATGAGAACTTTATTCTTTCTGAGATTTGTCAGCAGTTTTAAAAATGTTTTGCAACTTCTAGCTTTTTTCATTCTTAAGAAAATAGGAATTATGCCCAAAGGCACACAAATATATATGGAGACTAAATCCGCTCCTTTGACTCCTTTTATCATTACAGTTAAAACAAGAAAACTGGAGCATGCCCTCAATTCTAAGCCACCTCTGTTCTTTGTTTTGCCAGTGATCATGAAAACAGGCATTTATATATAGGAAGAATGCAGCCCCACACTGCGTCACAGCTGAATTATTTAAAAGAGAGGTGGGTGATCCTTCCCTTATAAATAGTATGGCTGACAGGCAAAGACAAAGACAAAGTGAAAGGTGGGTAGACTTTGCAACCCTGTATAGTGGTCTTTCTGCATGCCATCCGATTTCATTTTTCCCCCTCTTCGGGTCATATTAGCCATTAAAGGAAAAGGAACTTCCGGTCTCTCACAATAGGATTTCACCTGCAATGCATGCGCCAGCAATCAGACTTGTGTCAAGATGTGAAAATATGTGAGTATAGAGTGCTGAAATAATTATGAGGCATGTAGAAAATGTAGCCCTGATAATGAAAAGTTTTTTAAAATGAGGTTTGAACAGTAGTTTACTGAAGCTATTGCAAAACCATTAGCCATATCTCCAGCTGAGCAAGGTCAGGCTCTCCAACTGAGCAAGGTCATTGTACTATAGCATTACTGACAGTTGAACATGTTTTATAAATGATAACAAAGCATAAACAAGGGATGCAGCTCTTATAACTTGCACTCTCTGTACCTACAATATTCTGGTTTTCCAGGACTCTGGTGCATCAGATATTTTATGTTACAAGTAGACATAGGAACGAATATAAAAATGAATTGCTATGTTCAACGAATATCACTGATTCGTCAGATATTCATTGCTTCATATTCTTGAGGTCCAGAGACCCCAACAAACATGAAGCAATGAATATAATCCTTTTATGTTCGTCCCTTTGTCTATCAGGCTTCCCTCCCTTCCTATGCCCGAATGGGGACAGGAAGAGAAGGGAAGGGGGAACCAAACGATCTCCCACCCCCACTGTCTTTGCAAAGACAGTGGGGCTGGGGGATCACTTTGATCCTACTTTGATCCTTTCCCTCCTCTTCCTATGCCCTTTGCAAAGACACTGGGGCTAGGGGATTGCCTGGGTCCCCCTTCCCTCCTCTTCCTATGCCGTGTGGCATAGGAAGGCTCTGGGGGGCTCTTTTTGGTAACCCCATGGGCTGTCTAAAAACAAAAGTGACCCAACAAATGGACAAATTTATTTGTGGTTTGTTGGGCCAATGGGAGGCAATGGCTCATCAAACTTGACAATCCATGAATCAAGACAATGTGCCATTTCGGTGCTTCCTCCTCATCTACAGTTACAAGCCTTTATTCTTCCAGACTCTGCAAGATCAGGGTATAAACAATGGCCAGAAAAGAGCCAGGGAAGGAGCATCACAGCAAAACACCACACTGCATAAACCAGATACCAACAACAATAATCAATAATGATTTCCTTCCATAGATATAAACTGGCACAAAGCTGGTTTGACTGGGTGAGCATTTGGAAATACTTTGTTACTAATATGCTTAGAATCTAGGTAATTTTCTTTAATACATTCTCATTTTTAAGAACTTTGATATTTTATGTGTTTTTTACTTTGTTACTAATATGCTTAGAATCTAAGTAATTTTCTTTAATACATTCTTACTTTTAAGAACTTTGATATTTTATGTGTTTTAAAAATGTGTCTTTTTAGGCTATAAGCTCCTACATCTTTAGAATGCAGACCTGACATTTGCACATTAAGCCTGTGTTTACTTCCACAGAGATCACAAAGCAAAGGACAGATGCAAGATGCACCATTGAGGACAAGCAAATTTTATGACAATCACCCTTCTCTACTCGTGGGAACACTACTTCTAGTTAGGTGTTAAGCCAATCATCCAGTTTGACCTAACTTCTCTATTTCTTCCAGGCAACATGGAATCAGCCCATGGTCTATGCATTGTCTTTGGCAGCTTCTTAAAAAGAATTTTTGTTTGAGGCAGGGTAAGAAGTAGCATGACTTCTTCTGGCAGCCTACATGGCAACAGCTAACAGTGGTGTGCTGCTAAAAATAATTATAAGGTTCTCAGACTTACTTTCAAGAAGTGTGTTTTAATCTTCCCACAATGTTTGCCTCGCTGCTCATGCACAGGGGAATAGAGCAAATCTTTGGCTGGGATCCTTGCGTATGCAACTCTTTTGTTGTTGCTGAGCATCCAGATGAACACATCAGGCACCGTATGCTGAGGCTTGAAAAAAAGAGACAGATATGTGCTTTGAGCATCAAGGGCAGCATTACACCCTAGAAACACATGTTTTCGTTGGGAAATCAGAAATTTTGGATTATGTGTGGATAAAGGACAAAAATTTAGAAGCATTGGAGGAAGAACAGTCAGAGTTTTATCAGAGAAATGGAATATACTAGTTTGAAAGTAACAGAAGAGAGAGAGAGAGATTGCATTTTGGGCACACTGTCTAAAGGACTCATACTGCAGAGTGGAATCAAAGTCATACTAATGCACTGGCAAGGAGAAGCAATGTTGTGATTATTCAACCTGAATATGTTTGTTGAAAGGTCTTTTAAAAAAAACTGGTACCACTGTGTATGCCAAGGGTTTCTTCCACCAAAACAAAGACTTTCCCCATCAAAACAAGTTCATAACAGCATGATAAGAGAGCTCTGCCCAAACAATTTATTTACAGATTTATGGATCTGTTTCCTTCAGTGAATCCAAGATGGACCCTTGCTTATTGTAATCAGAATGGTATCACTTACTCACAACGCTTGGGAAGAACCTTTTACCAGGGATGTTGAAGTTTCAACAAGTACTGTGGTAGCTGGTATTTTGAATAAAACCAGTCCATACAGCAACAATGTGTTGAAGATACCATGTGTAAACAGCCTTGTTTCACTCTGTTCTGTGGCTCGGTAACAGCTAAGGATGTAACTGTCGTAGCCCCTTGCTCTCTGAGAGAAACTGAAGGGGAAACCCGCTCTTTTCCCTTGACGGGCAGCTCTCTGCATAAGATTTTCATGGAAATGCTAAGGTACGTAGGATGATTATGATTCCTGCTGTAGAATGGCACATTTCCTGTACAGGATTTGCCTGGAAATGGCAGACAAAATGCTACACTGTGCAGGATTCTTATAACTCCTGTGTAGAATAGTATCTTTCTTACACAGGACTCACATGGAACGGAATACTTCCTTGTGAAATACCAGTCTGGGGTTCTTACAATTCCTGCACAGAATGGCATCTTTTCCTTACAGAACCATGGGCAAAAAAAGAAAAAAGAAAAAAACCAAACCAAAACAAAACAAAAAAGGATTCACAGAAAGGACAACAAACTGAACAGAATTTGGCAGTTTCCTGTGCAGAAGTATGGACAAAAAAAGGGGGAAGGAGGAAATTAACAGCATCTAATTTTTACAAGAAGGTAAGAGATTTAGCAGGCTCAGGTCAAAGTCTCATGAGAGAGACTCAGCCTTCCCAGAATTGGAAAATGACCAAGAATGAGGAATTTTATGATTATGCCCATAGTCATCCACAGTGACAGATCATCCAGAGTGGCAAGTCCAATCGAAGATATTCTACAAGTAAGTCTTTGGTATTGCTATTGTGAAAAACTAAGAAATGCTGGAGGCATTCAAGAGAAAATTGAGCAACCACTTCTCAGATCTGCTTTGATTTGGATTCCTGCATTGAGCAGGGGGTTGGACGCGATGGCCTTATAAGTCCCTTCCAGCTCAATTATTCTATGATTCTATGAAACACATGAGACACAAGGGCATGTCTGAAAAATGGTTTCTAACAGCTTTTCCAGAAAACTAGATGAGTTACCTCATCTACCAAGAAGCGAATCTTCTCAATAAAGTTCTGGGTCTCTCGCATCATCTCGTCGACTGGAATCTTCTTCTTTTGTTGCTGGATGATTCCTTTGGCATCTTTGGACATTGCTTCCTACCAAACCAAAATGGGTAACATGTTTTTAAAGCCGCCAACACTATCAGTTGCAGAAAGGAGGCTCTGCATATTATTCTCTGAGTTACAGATCTGGTTTCAGCTTGATTAAACAATTGTGTATAAAGTGTGTTAGTTATATACTGCCTGATAGTGCTTAAAGCACTCTCTGGGTGATTTACAATTCAATTATACAGACTAAACATTTCCCACAGCAACCTGGGAACTCAATTTACCAACTTTGGAAGGATGGAAAGCTGAATCAGCCCTGAGCTGGCTATCTGAACTCCTTGGGACTGAACTCAGTCATCTTGACTGCAGTACTGCCGTTTTAACCACTGTACACAAGGCTCTTAGACACATATAGACCAGGAGGGTGAGATGGGGTGTGTAGGATCACAAAACAACATTTCCTTGCTCTATAATTGCACTTGATTAGGAGCAAGCTTAGGGCTCAAAGTATCCTTTTATGTACACCAGGGTAGATAATTTGTGGTCTTCCAGATGTAGAAATAAGCTGCCCAAGCCTGATGTACACCAATAGTAATTCTCACTATGCACTAGAATGTAAAAGAAAATATTACTATATTTCAGATGCTTCAAGCACAACTTTCCATCACTGGTAAGTACTAGAACTAGAGAGTTCCACCACCACAATCAAAACAGGACAGATCAGATACCACAAGATCTTATTTACGTCTATTCCTACCTGCCACTTTGTAAAACCATTGAAAAAAAAGGTTCCACCACTTACAAGAACATTACTTTCTTTTTATCATTCACTTAATTCTGTATACACATGAAGAATGAAGCCAATGTTGTACTGGATTTGGGTTTTTATACATGTACTTACTGATACTCTGGTTACGACTGCAGTTTTCTTATTATTATTTGCATTTAATGTTTTTCATTTAATATGTTGTAAGCCACTTGGGCACAGTTAAGTAGAAATGGAAATGCATGGAAATAAATAAATGATACAAAACCATAATAAAAATACATTATGTACTATGTGCACCATTTGATTTCTTATCATTGAACTGCTTAGCATTCAGTGACACACGCCTGAATGTTTGAGCAGCCAGCACTGGAAACCATTGTAATTAAATAATACGAACTGGGTGTGCTCATGGCAGCTTCTTTCTTTTGGTCATTGAAGGCAAGATAGATCATACTGATATCAAAAAGGGCTTTGTGTACATGCTTAATTTCTCTGGGATGCCAAAAGCATACCCCAAAATGGTGATACACAAACCATTTTGTGATCAGTCAGTTATGCCCATCCCATCTAAGGCAGCTGGTTTGTCTAGCAGGATGACCTACTGTAGACAGGAAACCTTAGCTTTTCAGTTTGATCAGGCAGATACAACATGGCTCTTTCCATGCTACGAACGGCTGGATTTTGCCCAAGGAAAGGGGACAGAATTTCAGTTCGTTCGTTCATTCATTCATTCATTCATTCACTGCCCATCTAACCAATGGTCACTCTGGGCGGTATACAGTAATGACAACATCATCTAATACCATAAACGTATTTAAAATTGAAAATTTAAATTTAAATTAACATCACATTTAAAAACAAGCAGCAGTTAAATATGATAGGCTAATCATCTCAGTGGGCTAGTCAGATGGCAAATTTTGGAAAGCCAGCCAGAATTTAAAAAAAATTTGAGGGACTTCCTAAAGATCTCCAGAGAAGGGGCCAGGCGAATTTCAGATGGCAACTCATTCCAAAGCCAAGGAACAACCACCAAGAAGGCCCAGTTCCTTGTTGTCTCATTTCGAGCCTCCCTCAGGGTTAATGTCCTTCACCATACAGCCTAGATTGTACAGGTAGAACAGGCAGCCCCTGTTGGAAGTTCGGCCATGTAATGATGTCCCAAACCAAATTTGATTAATTTATCCAAACCCGCAAATTTCTTCACCTGCAGCACAGAAAGCACATGAGGGTTGAAAAAAACTGAAGGAAAGAGAAAATGAAGATGACAGATTTTTCCATCCAGAGTCCAGGATCTGGAAAGGGAAAGAGATCTGGATGAACAAGATCTGTATATTTTCCCAATGCATTTTTAATGTGATGCTTCCAAGACTTAGTAGGAACCAAAGCTATCTTTATGAAGTAGAGTTTGCCACCTGGCTTCTCTCCCCATGCCCTTTAAAGCAAAGGTCAAATTTAACACCGAAGAAGTCCTGGTGGACAGGATCAAATGCAAAATGATGGGACCAAATTAGTAAAAACATGCTAGTTTAAAATTCTTAGGATTAGCAACCAGCCTTAAGTGGAGAGTTTTAACCTTTTAGAATGACGGGGACATACGAAAGCTGGAAAGCCGCCACAAGATGGTAGCCTCCAAACCAAGGGGGTCTCTGATCTATATGCATGTGGTGGGTGGAAGTCCACTACTGTCTCATCACACACACCATGTGAATTCCCTGACTCAGACATTTACATTGCTCCTTATTTGAATGGCAGGAAAGTGCTACAACATGATCTAGAACCATGCTTTTCAGCCTTGACTTGCAACCTTGGATGCTGTTGGACCAATGCCCAGAAGCTCTGCTCAGCATGGCTAGCTATCAACAATTCTTTGAACTGCAGTAGAAAACATCTGGAATTCCAAAGGTTGAAAAACTCCTGATCTAGAACCCAAATGCTCCAACTCTTTTATTTTGTGTCGCACCAGATCATTCTATTGAAGAACCAGAAAGCCACCACGAATCAAAAGACCATTTTCCCTTAAAAGGGCATTTTTATATTTACAGGCACTCTGCTGAGCAAGCTGGTGAGCAGCAGGAACAAGTGATTAGAAAAGGCACTCAGTTGCCAGAGTTGCTACTGCCATTCCAAAAGGTAGCTGATGCCTAATCCATGCCAGGTAGAACTGGCAGGAGAAGGCATGTCATACTTGCAGGGCATGTACAGTGGTGCCTCGACTTATGAACGTCACCACTTGCCACTATTTCAAGTTACGACCAGCTCCAGCCGCAAAATTTTGCTTCTATTTGTGACTGGAGCTTCATGAACAGAAAGAGGCAGGGGGGAAAGGCGGGAAATTCAAATTTCTAACTGTAGGTGGCGCCAAGGCTGCTTCTTTGTAGCTCTTTCGTCCCAGCAGTTAGAGAGCGTGTGTCAGAGGAAGCTTCAGACTGCCTCCTTCTGCTTCTGGGAATGTGTGTGTGTGTGTGTGTGTTTGCAGGGAGGCTTCGGGCTGCCTTGTAAGGTAAGGTACTGTTTTCTGCTTTTTAAAAATGTTCTGGGTGTTTTTGCAGAGTGATTTTGAGCTGGGGGAGTTATGTTTCTGTGCTGTGATGGGTCTTGGGGGTTTGTTTGTTTCTTGGCTTCTTCCCTTCCCCATTTCCAATGGGTCTTAGGGGGGTTGGTTGCTTTTTTGGGGTTTTTCCCCCATTTCCGATGTGTCCTGCATGCTTCCCTTGCTTTTTCGTTTGTTTTCTTTGCATTTCCGACCTGCCCCCTTTGTTCTCTGTGCATTTCTGATCTGATCTGTTTGTTTTCTGTGCATTTCCGATGGGCCTTGCACGGTTGATTGCTTTTCTTTCTCCCCCCCCCTTCGGCCGGAAGGGATTAATCATGTTTCCAATGAGTCATGCAGTGATTTTTTGTGTGTGTGATTTTTTTCCTTTGGCCAGAACAGATTAATTGCATTTCAATGCATTCCTATGGGAAATAGTGCTTCGACTTACGACCATTTTGAGTTACATCCATCTTCTGGAACAGATTATGGTCGTACAGCGAGGCACCTCTGTATGCTATAACATGGCTGTCATTTACAACAGTGCTTCCTGATTTTGGGTCCCCAGATGTTCTTGGACTACAACTCCCAGAAATCCTGGCCAGTACAGCTAGCGGTGAAGGCTTCTAGGAGTTTTAGTCTAAGAACATCTGGGAATTTAAGATTGGGAACCACTGATTTATGAGAAAGATGTAAAGCACAGACACAGTAAACTGCACATTGCAGGAAGAACCCAGGCATATTTCACTTACCAGTTCTTGCTTACACAACGTCATCCTCTTTTTGTCCAAAGCTGTCCTATTCATCTGCTTAGATTTCTTTTCAGCATTTGCAATGAAGGCCCTTGAATGAAGAGACAAAGCAAGTTTTTTTAAGTCTGTAAAAGATGATAACTTCATAATGATGGATAATGATTCTCTCACAGCACATTCATTTATATACCAGATTAACCAGAAGATATTAAGACTTCAGGTCCATAATATTATATTAAAATGGAGGCATCATTTATAGTTGTGAGAAATACAAAAAAGCAGAATTACAATTTGTATGGTAATATGTAGATATCAAATTAATTAGCTTGGGAGTAATATGTGGCTATTTTACATCATATCCCTTGCACACAATAAAGGTTTGAATGAGTAAAGTCTTTTGTATGCACATTGACCATCCAGATTTTTGCATAATATATTTGCATAGGATGTCACCGATCATTTCCAGTGTACAGTGTGTTCTTCTGACAATCCCCAAAGCTTGGTAAGTAATATAATAATGAATCACTGAAAAATGAGCTAAGGAAACAGAATCGAATATAGTTTCATTGTATAATGCTGGAGCCAAAGGCAATTACTTCTGCATTTATTACAGGATACCCTGTTCAGGCAAGTTACTGTGATATAACTACAGAACCTCAAAGGTTTTTGTGTTTTTAAGCAAACAGGCTGGATTTGTAGTTCCTGGACTAACAGCGACATTGTAACACAGTATTTGTTCAGTTTTCACACTTTCCCAAATTCTGCAATATGGTTCTCAGTTAAAGAAAGGCTCCCTCCCTCCTAACTTGTAAAAGGTGTCTCAAAAGTTTGCTTGTTAGAGAGTAAACCAAACCAAAGTGTGCTACTTATATACCACCCTATAGCATGCAAAGCACTCTCTGGGCAGTTTACAATTTAATCATGGAGACTACACATTGTTCCCCTCCAGCAAGCTATTTACTCAATTTAATGAGCTCAGAAAGATGGAAGGCTGATTGAACCTTGAGTTGTCTACCTGGGATTGAACCCAGGTTGTAAGCAGAGCTCGGGCTGTAGTACTGCATTTTAACCACTGCATCACGAGGCTTCAGAGGCCTTTCATAGCAGCCCAATATGATCTCATGTCTCTTGTCCTTCCTGTTAATATGCCTCCTGTTGTTATTTATTTTATTTATCTGTTCTATTTATAGCTTCATTGTTATTGTGGTGTTCTTTTCTAACATGCTATAAACCACCCAGAATAGTGCATGGGGGGGTATACAAATGAAATGAAATGAATAAATAAATAAATAAATATTTTTAAAATGTATATTTCAGCTTCAATTTCCAAATAAATCTACATTTTATACTGACTTCCCAATCAGTCTACATTACACTTTGAACATATGTCCCCATGCAAAGTTTAATGCCTTCTAATGTAAAATATGTGCACAGAAATGCACATTTAGGGGGATATGTGTACCAATATTCATAGTTTTACATTAAAATACATTAAAATATTCACAGGCAGAATATTTTATTTCTTTATTTTATTTAAAACATTTTAGCTCAGCTTTCTCCTTAAAAAGGACCCAATGCAGCCTACATCATTTAAAAGTAAACTGTATTAAAAGCTGAAAACAGTAGATTATTCTAATATTTTAAAAGAAATAAACATTATATTTAAAATGTTAGGTAACAGCATTACTAAACTAGAGTTAAAAGCAACAAAAATACAAACCATCCCAATGTTTTAAAACAGCTAGTTACTATGGAAAAGCCTGCCTGAAGAGAAAAGTCTTTGCCAAGGTGAAGCCAGCCTGGCTTCCTGTGGGAGGGAGTTCCAGAGACTGGGAACAGCAAGAGAGAAGGCCCTCTGTTTTGTTTTGCTTTTTAACTTTACTTTTACTTTTTACTTTTATTGGACTTATACCCCATCCCTCTAGATAAAGTCTACTCGGGGCGGCTTACATAACGTAGATTGTTTCTGCACTGAAACAGAACAAACTCATGAGTGAAGACATGGAAGCATGGATTTGGGAAGGAAGACTTGGACATTCACAGACAACCTGACCTGTCCATCTCTAAACATAGCCACTTTCATGCCTAGCATTACAGTGGTGCCCCGCATAACGAGTGATTCGTTTAACGATGAATCCACATAGCGATTGTGTTTTGGCAATCGCAAAAGCAATCGCATAACGATGTTTTAAATGGGAAAACATCGCTTTGCGATGATGGGTAAGCGTTTCGCTTACCGATTATTGCATAACGATGTTTTAAAAAACAGCTGATCGGCGGTTCCAAAATGGCCACCGGGTAAAGAAAATGGCTGCCCGCTGTGTTTTCGCGCCCTTTCCTCGCTTACTGGGCAGCAAAAATGGCAGCCGCATGGAGGATTTCCGCATAACGGTGAGTTTTTTGCCCATAGGAACACATTAAACGTGTTTTAATGCATTCCTATGGGCTTTTTTTGCCCCGCATAGCGACAAATCCATATAGCGATGATTTTTTCAGAACGGATTATCGTCACTATGTGGGACAGCACTGTAATTCCTTACCTGCTCCATGGGAACTGCTTCCCATTTATAAAATATATTGTGCGTTCCTTCTGTAGATATCCTTACCTACTTTGGGTGATAAAATCAGTGAGAGTGGACCTCATTTTTTCTTCTGATTCCATCTCCGAAACTTTGATTAAATCTTTGACGTGTTGTAAACCTTCTTCCTAACCCAGGTGGAAAAAGGACAGTTTATGCAAAGGACATCTAAATGTCAACCAATGTCAACCAACGGGGCAAAAAGTGCTTTGAATTAATGCAATTAATGGGAGAAAGCCTTCACCGAGTAATTAGCATGAGTGATCAAGGATAATTGGTGCCTAGTAATTGGCACGCAGAGCATGTTTTCAACTGAGAAATGAATGTATTAGTTCTTAAGTTCATTGTCGATTCAAAATAGTTTATTTTAATTAATGGAGAGGTCTCAGCAAGTGGGTGTTCACTGCCAAGATCTTAATACAAAAAAGTCTGACATTTTTTTCAGGGGACCTGATTTCTGACACCAGCTCTATTTTAAATGTAATCAGGGCTGAATACTTTCACCCACCTACCCATTCACTCTGTAAAATAAAATAACAGTAAATTTTTAAGAAAAATATATACAATATTTGGTTCCTTTGTTTTCAACAAGATAGGCACAGGCTTGGCAGAATTCTCCAATTTTTATAGAAAAATGAAAATGCATGGGATGATAAGAGACAAATGATCCATTTTGCGATTTCTTGGAGGGGGAGGTGTAACACTGACAATGGGAGGGGTTCATAACTGGATAGAAGGAGAAATGTTAGGATGGAGTTGTCTAACCCTTCTCCCATGGGGCAGGCTTGTAATCAAAACTTCCCTCCTGCACTTTTCTGCCTGGATAATGAGAAGTGGTGCAGGAATCTGTACTTTATTCCTAGGTTTCTATTTTAATACTGGAAAGGGGGAGGGGAGAGAAACCAATAGGAAAAGCATTAATCACCAGGTCCCTGCACATCCCCCTATCTACCATTGGCAGGCTTAATTCAAAAATATTATGGGATTTTATTTGTTTACTTTAGACAAAGAGGTGGATTATATTTCTGTTCTAGTATTTACAGGGTGCAGAGGGTATCAGCCAATACTGATACCCTCCCCCCCAAAGTGAAAGATGAAAAACAGCTCACTCTATATCCCCAAAAATGACCTCTAGGACCTAAGGAGTCGAGGCCATGGCATGTCAGAACATAAGCCTGGACTTCTCTAAAGATTACGAGGCTGTTTGTCCTTGAGGCTCGCTCATGAGCAGGGAAATAAAACTCCTTATCTGATCCAAAGTAGAGCCTTGAAGATAAACCAGAAAGTAGAGCTGCTTAGCAAGCACCCAGACAGGGCCGGCTGCTGAAACGAGGTCTTATCGGGAGTGCTCCTTGTGATTTCCTACTGAATAGCTCTCCTTCTGTTCAAAGCATCTTCATTCGTGACCTGCTGGAAAGGTCCTTGGCCTCGTTGATTGTTTGAGGAAGATGGCAAGGATAATAGGAATGAACTTCAGCTGACCAAACCTACATTTCTTTATTTCAAAAAGCTTAAATATGGAAACTTGTGTCACATTTCCATGGGTATCATTGATTGCTTTGATAGCAAAGATTAGTGAAGGTTTATTCTAAGGTATAGGAGAGAGAGAGAGAGAGAGAGAATAACAGTTTCATGGGTATCATTGATTGCTTAACAAAATCCCTAACAAAGATTAGTGAAGGTTTATCCTAAAGTATGAGAGAGAGAGAGAGAGAGAGAGAGAGACCTACCTCACAACTTCACAGATTGCAACAGAATTAGTCTATAGCTCAATTTTAAAGAAGAGGGTATGCACAGAACAAAAACTGGAAAATCTGAAATAATCGTGTGGTATACATGATACATTTACAAAGTTAAAGGGCTCCCCCCCCTCCAGTCAAGGCTGAGCTTCTCTCAGGCTCTTGCAGAACATAAAGTGTGAGGAAGAAGGTATTGACCACATAAATTAGCATTCAAGTCATTGTATACAACTGTATTCAAACAAGTCAATTCAACAAGACCTACTTCTCATGTGTAGAATAAATGCCCACAAAAACTTAGTAATTGGTTTGAATGAGGACATTTCAAAAAAACACATTCTCTGTGTGCCACTTATGCTTTGATAGTCCAGTTGACTTACCAAGAGAGTTGCCATTTTCTCAAGAATGTTGGAAAAATACAGTCTAAAGGTCTGGTCACCCCAGAAACTTTTTATATAAATACAGGGCTTTTTCTCATCGTACGGCAAGTAATAATAATTTCTGTTGAAAGAGATAAGAATCCAGTAGTATTTTGAAATGAGCTTCTGAAGTGATATGCAAGCCAGTGCAAATGAAATATTGGTTAGCAGACACAATCTGAGGTACATTGTTCCAATTAAACCATGTATTAGTTATGAGTGAGGGTGGGTGAAATTTTCCTTCACTAAAAAAGCAAATTTACTAAGATTCACAAATTTTCTACACGAACTTCAGAATGTTAATGTGGGAGAAAATAAAACTAGTAGATTAGTATATCCAAGCAGAGATAACTGAATTGTTAGTAGAGATAGTCTCTAGTTACTTTCATATGTTACTTTGAAAAGGAATTATAAACTTTTCAGGTTTTATGCTATACTGTTATTATTCCTAAGTGGCAAAGGAAATATTTTTTAGTATCTCCCATATTTTTATAAACATCTCTAAACCGCAGTATCAGAACTGGCCACTTAAGGGAACTAGAGAGCATTTCCTGTGGTTTTGTTTGGGTTTGTGTGTTTTTTTGTCACACACAGCACTTTAGTAACAACAACATAACAAATTACTTTGGCAATTGGCACAACAACAACAATAATGGTAACCAAGCTGTTGAGAATAAATATTGAAACAAGAATAACATTTGCCAAGACAGAAGGGAAACAATTTGCAAACATGCAAGCACCCAACCAATTCCTTCCATATATTTATAGGGCAAACCTATTCGTGGGACAGTGTGGCTATTTTCTTCAGCATATATTAGATTTGTAGAAAGCCACTGGAAAAACTCTTAGCACTCAATACCTGCTTCTTCCCCCCACACACACACACACAAACTTGATGAACTTGTCCAGTGAATCAGATGACAGTAGTAATTCAGCGGTCAGTGGCGGATCTAAACTGTCTCCTTTGACATTTTCTCCTGAATCCAAACTCAGAAATTCCTTTCTCTTCACATTTTTTCCTTCTGCTTATAAAATAAACTGATCTCAAGAAAGAAATGAGGCAGAGGCCAGCTAGGCTAGAGGCTGTGCAAAATGTATCATCTTTCAGGCATAGAGCCCAATGTGTTCATGCAAAGATTTATCTGTCCCAATGTGTTTCAGAAGGCCATTTTCAAAGAAGCTCTGCTTGTAGTCAAAATATTCTCCACCTGTTAAACTGCATTTTCTTCCAATGTTTTCCCTTTAGAGATGCACTTATATGCTGCTGATTCTCACTCTTTCCCTCGGCTAATTAAATTGCATTCTTAGGGACATTATCAGCCCATTTAAAAAAATATACTGGACAGAGGGTTTGTAGAGGAAGACAAAGAAAAAAGGACCTTTACTTTTATTACAAGAAAATCATACCCAAGGAGATCTTTCAGACTGGATTATGACACATGTGGACTTTACAAAGCAAAGGTGACTACACGACACACATAGAAGTGAAGATTGTTCTGATGGGGAATTGTGTTATTTAGATTGGAAGCAAGGTATTTTACTCTTCTGCCAGTGGGTCATTAATTTAATCTCTGATGTCAAATCAATTTATTTTGAATCATTTTGGCATGCATGAACACCTCTAAAAGTTCCGTGTAACCCCTGTTTAGTTTCTCCTCTCCTTTGAAACCCTACTCAGTTCCAGCCCCAAATTTTTGTCTGTCTGTGTGTGTGTCTGTCTCTGTGGAGGTGTGCTGGGCTGCAGGAAAAGCTCTGTTTTAATTTTTTTTCTATCTGTCATTCTATTCTAGTACTATTTCAGACTGCAAGAAATAAATAATAATAACACCACAGCAGCAGTTGCTGTGAGAGGCAGGCAGGGTGAGAGGGTACAGAACAAAGCCTTAAATGCAGCCATTCTAAAAGTCTATGTAGCCCCCTCAATCGATACACAACACACTTAAAAATGGATTAAAAGTTTTCCCAAGAGGATGCCTACACTGACCCCCAAACCACGTGACTTTAAACCACATTCAAAAACCCTGACATCTAATTTGATTTATTTCAGCACTGTAACTGTTCTCATAGCTGGCCGGAAGCACCATGGAAGAACGGAGCAGATGCAAAGTAGAAAACAGTTTTGCTTCTGTAGTAGAGCAATATGAGCCTTTAAGAAAAAGAAGAAATGGGATACATCTTGTGGCCACCCATAGAGAGCAACAGTAGATTTGAAAATGCTATTTTTTTTCAACCTCAACTCATCATATCTCTGCTTCTATCTGGAGAAAACATAAAAAGCCTCCAGCTGTGTCTCCAGGATAATAGCCCAGCATCAACATTCTCTGCCACTGTCAGGATGGAAAGCAGCTGCATTGTTGGCAGCCTTCACTTCTCATCTCTTTTTTGGACGACTATCCTAAGAGGCCATTTTCCTTCCATTCTGGTTTCGCTAACGCTGATTGCACTTGATTGTTTCTTTTTCTTCAGACGTCAAACCAGCAACAGAGAGAGTGCAGGGGGAGGGGAAGAGAAATCAGTCCCAAATCAGTCGAATAACGGACAAAACATCCACTATGGGAATAAGATTGGTTTAATATCATTCAGTATAATCCTATTTGAAGACTCTCAGTTCTAACGACACACATCTCCTTCTTGCTGTCCCATAGTCCAGATAGCAAGAGAGAACTTCATGTTTTGTTCATGTTGTGTGTGTCTTTAAAATTCAAGTGCATGAAGAAAGAGCAGAGTCCAAAATATTTCCTCTGTCTATGAATATAAATAAAGTCATGGTCAGCAGCAGACTTTCTGTTCTTTTGATTTGCTCCTAAACAATTTTTAGGAGGAGAGAAAAATGAGGAGAGAGATTTCTGTTTACCTGGGGTAAGGGTGAGATTTAGGCTCTTAGCATCTTGATGTAGGGTTTTATAACTTGTCTTTGGGCTTGGATGGTTTTATAAAACCCTGAGAAACAGGGATGTTTTAAGAATTATATTCCTGACTCTTTGGATGACAGAGTTTTTGAAGGAGTTTCCTGCAAACAGATCATATTCTGGCACTCTGTTGGTGCATGGAACTCAAAGGGTATTTATTTATGTTGTATCCAGTTAGGAATGAACCTCAACAGATGGGAAACCCTGACATCTGAGCGTTCAGCCTGGAGGCAGGCGGTGCATCACGGCCTCTCCCATTTTGAAGAGACCCTTGTCCAGCAGGCCGAGGCAAAGAGGCAGTCCGGAAACCAGCAAAATCAGGGAGCTGGACAGGGGACAGATTGTATTTGTCTTCAGTGTGGAAGGGATTGTCACTCTCGAATTGGCCTTCTCAGCCACACTAGACACTGTTTCAAGACCTCTATTCAGAGCATGTTACCGTAATCTCTTGAGACTAAAGGGTGCCTAATCTAATCTATCCAGTTTGGCCTATGTTTTCTGTTATTTTTGCTGGTTTTGCTGCCTGATTTAAAATTCCAAATCTTGTAAAAGGCAATTATGTTTTCTATACTTGTTTAGAAAGACAGTCCAACAGAACCAAGAGGGTGGTGGTACATCAGAACTTGTTAGAATCCACCTATAACTACAACCTCATACAGGTATCCAGAAAAGGGTTACTCTCAGTGTGTGAGAACTGAAGGTTATGAAAATCCAAAAAGGGGACATGTGGAGCCTCAGAAACCCTGGATTTTTAAAAGAGTCCCTAAAGATGCAGAGCACCCCAATATGTAGCAGACTGTCTCTGCTTCACACTGTTATTCTCCACATGTGGAGAGTAACAGAGCAGGGTGGAACTAGCACTGTCCACTCTTCACACATCCAGATGAACTCTTTTTCTGAATATATGAAAAGAGCTCAGGTTGTGAACACCCTCGTTTCAAAGCAGAGGTATGGGGAAATCTCACTACAAGGCACTGCCTTATAACAACATTCGGGTACCATTAGAACACTAAAATCCTTCTTGAGCATCATCTTGAATGGATGAAGGCTCTGTTGGAAATGTCCAGGTGCAACACTCAAGAAGAGGCATGTTTTTGCATGGGGGAGAGTAAAGAGAGAGAGGACCTCCTCAGGTTTTGCAGACTGTCCTTTGCCCGCTCTACATTGTGCTGACTTCCTGCCAGTTTTTGATTGATAGTCTTAGAGTTGCTAATGTCACCTTATCCAAGGTGGAGATAACTTGCCTTTGAAAAGGGTCAGCCATGACCCCTGATACCTCCAACTTAGTCAGAATTAGGACTTCTAAAATCTTTCCTGACCCAAATCTGCTTCTCTAATAAACACAAGCTTGCTTATTTTCTTAGAAAGAAGCATAGAGGTGATTGCTTTACAAAGGAAGGGAGTGTCCTCAGGTAATCCTAAGTCTCAAAGTCTCATTCTAAGTCTCTGAAATCCACAAGTTCATGTTGTTTTTGCCTCTGTACCCTCCAGCAGGAATATACTTATAAAAGGCTTAAATCTCACTGATTCAGGATCATACTAGATTTTGACGGTAATGTGTATTCCCAGTTATTAGCCCACTTTCCCTTCCAGAGCAGGATTTCCTTTGAGAGATGTGTCTCAGCAATCCAATTTGCAAATTAAGCCTGTATTTACCTTCCACTGACTAATCACAAAACAAAACATGCTAAAGGCAAAATACACAGGAGAAGAAAATCACTTGCTATGACAAAGAGATGCCTTTCACCACAAGGGAGCAGCTCTGGAAAAGATAAGGATGGCATCTGCTTTGACCCTTCAGGAACAGCCTAATTGCCTTAATGCTGTTGCTTAAGAAATTGGTTCATTGACAGCATGGTGTCTAGTATGCTGTAAGTTGCTGTTCTAGAATAGGTAGCAGAAAGGTGCCAACATCTTCCTTACCTGATAAGTATACTGATTTAGTAAGGCTCATTTCCCAATTCAGCACAGTAGGACCCCAGTATCCGGGGGGAGCAGTTTTAAGTGCCCTCCAGAGATGTCAGAAAGTGTAGCATGAGCTCTTTCTCCTTCTAGTGGCCAGCTCTGGTAATACAGCTTGGAAACACACATTTTTGGTGGGTTTGATTTAATATTTTCAGACAGTGGATAAGTTAAACCACAAGTACTAATCCCACAGATTCAGCAGTCCTAATGTAATTGATCTCCCATAATCTTCAAGAAGATTCATAAAGAGAGGGGTACAGAAGAAGGACAGGAAATTGAGCTTCAGGGTTCTACCTGTTTCCTTCAGTGATTACTGGTTTTTCAGGATGTGTAGTAGATACCAATGGTATTGAAACATCATGTGCAGCATCTCCTGTTCCTTCATGCAACAAGGGGACACCTTCTTCCTCTTCTCCTTCATGGGATTTCTTTTTCCCTCCAGCTCCTGGTGACACTCCATCAATAACATTACCATAATTCCCTAGAGACAGAAAACCAAGCTAAGATAAGCAAAAGGAGAAATTCAACAATATTAGATTATTAAAGCATTGAATGCAATTACTGCAAAGCTTTTTCTCCATGCCCCTTAATTTTTTTTCTTAAAGTTTACAGATAGTCTTTTCACTTTTGAATTTTTAAACCCAAACCCATAAACAATTTTCTCTTGTTTTGGCAGCCATTTTCTACCCATAGATCATTCCCATTAAAGTTATCATTTCTGGTGCAGATGTTGCACTTTTCTTGCCCTCTGACCACATCCTTTCTCTTTTCCCCTCTCAGTATCACTGCAGAATTGGGGAACATTTGGTCCTCTACATGTTGCTGAAAAATAGCTCCCATCATCTGAGACCACAGACCGTGCTAGCTGAGGATTATAGTGTTTGTAGTCTAACAACCATGGCTCCCCATCTCTGGCCTATCACACTGATTCTCAGCCTTTGATCCTCCAAATATACAGCAGGACCCCTAATTCCATGGGATCAGTATTTACTGATTCACTTATCCATGGTCTGAAAATATTTAAAATATTAAAAGAAAAATCCTACAAATATATACTTCTAAAGATGAAGTTACCAGAACTGGCCATTAGAGTGAGCCAGAGACCATGCTATTTTTGTTAGCGAAATATATATATTATATCATTACCAGAACTGGCCACTAGTGGGAGCAAGAGACTAGGCTATGTATAGCATCTACTATTAATATAGCTCTTGCTATAATCCACGTTTTTCAGCATCTGCAGGGAAACTTGGAACCAATCCCTTGTGGATATCAGGGTCTACTGTATTTGACTTTATCTCCCAGCATCACTCATCACTGGCCATACTGGCTGGGAGTTCTGGGATGCTGAAGTCCAAAATGTCTGCGGGAAAACCATCGTTGAGAACCACTGATCTAACACACCCACAAAATGGGATGTCATGATCCCTTAACTTTCTTTTTCTTTAAAGGAAAGAACTGGATCCAGAACAAGGCCCAGAAAAAGGGCCATGAACAAGAGCTTGCTCCTTATTAAGTAAATAAGGTAAAGGTACAGGTAAAGTTTCCCCAATTTTTTTTGTCCAGTCGTGTTCGACTCTAGGGGGCGGTGCTCATCCCCGTTTCCAAGCCATAGAGCCAGCGTTTTGTCCGAAGACAATCTTCCGTGGTCACATGGCCAGTGCGACTTAGACACAGAATGCTGTTACCTTCCCACCGAAGTGGTTCCTATTGATCTACTCGCATTTACATGCTTTCGAACCGCTAGGTTGGCGGGAGCTGGGACAAGCGATGGTCGCTCACTCCGTCGCGTGGATTCGATCTTATGACTGCTTGGTCTTCTGACCCTGCAGCACAGGCTTCTGCAGTTTAGCCCACAGTGCCACCACGTCCCTATTGAGTAAATACTGTACCTAAATGAAGTTGTTACACATTCTGCCTCTCCCATGTCCCTTGTTTAAGCAAATATGAGGCATTGCTGTGTTTACCTATGAGGCTTTTCCCTACCCACCCAATTCCTGGTGGAGGAAAAAGCAAGTTCTTGAAAAAAACACAGTGATAAGGTAGGGCTGATACTTTATACAGTATATAAGTGGGATGGGGGAATCCATGGAAGGGCAGGGCAGGGCAAGCCAGAGCAAGTGAAAATACTCTGGGTGAATGAAAAGCTTCCACATAGTCCATTAAAAATGCTGGATGTCCCATAGAGTTTGCATTCTGATCCTTGGCTAGAATTGTGTATGTTTTCCTGAGAAATCAGATTTAAGTTGATTTGATGCTGTATCATAGTTTGCAACAATGTCCTGGCATACAGAAAGAAATACAACATTTTGCCTAACATTCGTCTTACACTCGTGTTCGCCCATAACTCTTCCCTTCCAGAACAGTTTGACACAGTACATTTAGTGCTGCCGTACTGAAAAGAGACAGTGTTGGTAATGAAAATGTAAAACTTACAGTGCCTACAAAGGACACCCCATTTCTTTCCAGAGTTCTCCTTCATGGGCAATAGAGAGGAAAACCAAGATTCTTTTCCAGCAGTTTATGCAACTGTACTCACCATGCATAGAACTGATCGCCTATAAGTGGCCAGTGGAGTTGAATCAGCATGATTGCAAAAGATATGTGACTAAGTGTCTCACTCAACATCCCAGCAGCCATATTCAGCACTTCCTATTAGACCGATGCCCATTTATCTATAGATTTTTGTTCTTTCCAGATTTGCCCACCCAAATTGCTTCTCAGAATACCTCTGTGTTTGCAAACTGGTAAACACAGGCATGTTGTTGATGTGTGAGGTGACAGAGACCAAAGGGCTCAATCACACTTGCCAAAAGAACACAAGTTATACCAATTATTTTCATATCTCTGTAGAATCAATACATTTTTTCAGCAGTCACAGTGAGAGTGTTTACATTGCTTTGAATGGCATTGCTACATTTCTTTTTATTTGAACTGCTATAGCAGGTTACACTGCTCTTTAGTTTTGTATTGATTCATTTTCTCTACTGTTTCTTGGGGCAATAAGGGCCTACCTTGTCCTTTTTTTAAAATTGCAAAGGTGATACAGTATATTAATAGAGTGGTATGAGCCTTCTCTCCTCCTCCCCTTTTCCCTTCCTTCCTTTACTCACTCATCCCCTTTTCCTTATTTCCCTGATCCCTCTCAGTTCTTGACTATATTTTTTTCTTTTTTGCACAATGTCGAGAGGATGAAGTGAGTTTTAAAAGACTTGCAAAATATTATGAAGAGCAGTGTTTTTTTAAAAAGCAGAGGAGACATTCATACAACATCCCTTTCTTTACCATTCAAAGCAGGAAATGTCCCTTTCTCACATCCTCTTTCAACCTCAAGGGACACGGGGAAGCCTGTGTCCTTCTGAGTAATGTATCATGTAGTTTTTGTGGTGGTGGCTGCTACTCTTTACTGATTTACCAATATCCCTTTTAAAAAGTTTTTTTTAAAGGAAAAGCTATAAGCTTAGTTGCCATGAAATGGTCACAGTGCCCCAAAAATTGACCCCTTCACAAAGGAAATAAATGGACAGCAATGTTCAGATATGCTGAAATGATAAGGAATGATGCAGTACATCATCAGTGCAATTTAAAACCACCCTCCTGGCGAGGAAGAAATAAACTGATTGCCAAGGCAAACTATATTAACTGTGCATGATATGAATAGAAAAATTTTAAGCTATCCAAATAACGGCTAAAATGGTATAATTGGGTTCTTTTGGCAAGTCTGATCAAGCCCTAGATTTGCACTGAAGATACATGTCCATGCATGGCAGTGAGAAGTGGGGGTCCTCCTTGGGTTTTTTAGACTTTCCTTTACTTGACCTATGCTAATCTTTTCTCTAATTCCAGACCTCACTTCCTCCTTCTTCTCATACTTTTTTTTGGCAGGGGGGGAACTAAAGCTTCTAGGTCAGGAACTTAAAAAATGTCACCCAGCCTCTACACTTTAGTTTCTCAGAAACACGATTTCTATCATCTTACCTATCTCAATGTATTTCTTCTGATAAACACCAGGTTTCTTGCTTTTCCAAGGCAAAGAGTTTAAGCACATCAAGATTCCACAGCACAAATGTGACCCTCTGAGAGGTGTTCATATTTCAGAGGGCTAAATTTCTTCAAAAGGTTTTCAACTCCATCTGCTAGCAGTATATACATTGCAACCGCCAACAATGCTATAAAAATCCAGCATCTATCTCCCTGCATCTAGGATAACATTTATCTAGTTCTGGAAGAAGAGTTAAACAGGGAGGATAAGCACCTGTATAAGCCTTACACTAGATCCTTCTCTGTTTTACTGGAAAAAAGTGCCTAGATAAATTGGACTTACCGCAAAACCAGTGCTTAGATGTTTGAAGAAGAGGTACTGCATACTCACCAACAGACACCTCAAAGCTGATTGGTTTATCTCCAACTTTCCGATCAATCATTGATGCTTCAAAAAATGCTCCAAAGAGGAGGAATTCTTCCAATTGTTCTTCATGGATCTGATAAAAGATTTAAAAAGCAAACTGTATTTATTGTACAGTGTACACTGAGCCAGTGTAGCATTGGCTCAGATTACCTTCTGAAGAGAAAACTAAAGGAGCAGTTCTGAAGTTTAGTTGTCTGCTGATGAAATCTGTGATAGACACAAACTGCTATCCATGTTAACTCCTGACTTCTCCAGACCATATCATCACCTTGTGTGTGTTCACTACTTCACACAAGTTTGTGCTGCACATCCATTACCGCACACCTCTGACCTTTGCAGTTTTCAAAACATACATTTGTCAAAAAAGCAAAAAATGACCGGGGGAGAACTAAGGACCAGAGAAACAACCTGCATGTTTAGATTCATATATGAGCAGGTAAAGTGTATGTATGTTTCTAGAATGGCTGGAGAAATGAAGTGGATGCATCCCAATTTGTTTTGATGAAAAAGAAATGTACATACAGAAATGAATGAGGGAGATAAGAGGAAAGCCTTTGGTTATGCTCTCATCTAAGGAGTTCCTAAATCTGATACATTCAGAAAATGTTATGTAGGAGTGAAGTCAGGAAAGGCTGGTGACTCCGATTTTACATGGTGTGTGTGTGTGTGGAAGGGAGGGAGGGAGGAAGGAAGGGAGGGAGGGAACGGGAGACAATCTGGTCTTAGTGTTGCCTAAACTTTAGAGGAGATGTTAAACCCATGTTGTGGTTCAAGTTCAGTTGGGAGGGGATAGCACCTCCATTTGAGCAGTGTGTAGGCATCCTTCAATCTTGGGAGACTATGGTAACATGCTTTGCATGAAGGATGTGGAACAGTGTCTAGTGTGGATGAGAAGGCCAATTCAAGAGTGACAATCCCTTCCACACTGAAGACAAATACAATCTGTCCTCTGTCCAGCTCCCCGATTTTGCTTCGATGCTCTATGAGAAGCTGGAGTGTCCTCTGCAGAGCACAAAGCCTGGGGAAAATAATATGGAGGATAGGCTGTTACCCAAGCAGCAAATCCCCCCTCTCCACATCACCAAAATGGTCCAATGGAAAGGCAAGGGCCAATACAACTGGTTCCAGCAACGTCGCAGGAGTTGACAGAATGAAACAAACTGCCTCCAGGACTCCGGCTCCGGATTTTGCCTCGAGGTTAACTCCTGAAGCCTTTTCCATCAGTGGATATTGCCACAAGGCAGTGGAGGTTTGAGATGGTAGTTTTCCTTCTCCTAGATGGGCTGCCTTCCAAAGCTGATGAGCCCCACCTACCCGGCATTTGAGCAGCACCTCTTCTACAAATAAGTTGAACATAACCTTTTTTGTTTGTTTGTTTAACCTGCAGCTGTACCTTCAAGTAAAAGAGATTTTCAGCTCATGTACTTTCTCAAAGAAATATGGGAAATGTAGTTTGGTTTGAAGACTAAGAACCCTTCTGAGAGAGAGGTTTAGAGTCTCACTATAGAAATATACTTGTCAGAGCTCAAGGGAGAAGTTGAAGCATCTACAGCAGGTATGTATCTACAACGTCATCCCCTGAGGGCTTACAGTGTAAAACAGAGGGATATTTTAACCATTTACCTCAGGTGGAACATCAAATGGCTCTACTTCCACATCAGTTGAATTTGTTTTATCTGACTCTGAAGAGGACTTTCCATCTTCTGCTCCCTTTTCTTTCTCTTTCCCAGACCCTTTGGAGCCTTTAGAGTCCTTATCCTTGGAAGGCAGCTTTATGTCCTTGATGATTTTGGAAAACTTTGACTCATGGGCTCCTCCCGAGAGGATCTCCACTGCTAGTTCAATCAAGAGGCGGCCCCTGAAAGAAACACCTTCCCCATAGCCTTCATTGAGCTCTTGGTGGTCATCCATCAAGGAATGGTTCCTAGGCGAGCCATAAAGATTGATCCAAGCAGGTCCGAAGGTGGGCAAAAAACCTGAGGAAGGCAGATATTCAAGAAACATCAGATGGAGCAAGGAGTAAAAAGAGAAAAATGTGCTTGATTTCATGCCTCTGTAAACAATTTACTTGTAGTAGGCACACCAGAGTGCCACTTGATAAGGCATATCCACACACCGATTCACTAGTAAATTTGCACAAGGAAATGTTTAAGGGACAGTGGTCTTCACCATGTCTGCTGACAACAAGGGACTCCCTGGGAAATGCAGTTCTTTAATGACGTAATGATGACTCTTTTAAATGGATCACTCTTGCCACTCGGTCTCAGATGTAGTTGTAGAAGGGGTAGCCATGTTAGTCTGTGCAAGCATTATAGGTGAAAACAAAATAAAAATAAAAAATAATACTTTTTTCAGTCTCAGATGTGGCTACAGAGCATTATTGGAGCTTAATGGGCTTTGTGTCCAAACTTTCCTTTAAAATGTCAGTTCTCTTTTTTCAAGAAAATCACATCTCTTTAGGAAATCTTTAAGAATAAAAACAAACATTTAAGAACTCTACTTCACTACCAAACTTGAAGTTTGTTTTTTGTTTGTTTGCTTGCTTATATGACTGTTGGTTGATAGCTTCCAACCAGAAAGCTCTCACCGAATGTCAGCTTAGGAATTATTATAGCAGCAATATAAACTCTGCCTTCTGGAACAAAGTGATGCTGAAAATAAATCATGGTTTTGGGAGGGATGAAAAGATACAGTAAGTCATGGAAAATATCAGAGTATTGAGACAAGACAAATGTCATATGGGTGGTGTGAACTGTACCATTAAACCATATACACCAAGAAGAACAAATGATCCATCTCTAATGGCCCTGGCTTTTGCATTAAAAATCTAAATGGAGCATGTTTGGTGTGGACAGAACATTTATGCCTTACACTTCTTGCATTCAGAACTACATGGCAGTGTTTGACTCCTTAGGACTGATTCTTAATGCTGAATGCATTCAGAGAAACTTCATCCAGACAAAAAAAGAAAGAGAAAATGATCTGGGAATAGCGGATAGAAGTTTGTGCAGTGGATGCCCCAACCAGTCACATGAAAAGGGAAAACTTTCCTGTCATGTGGCAAGAAAATAATCGCTTTCTGTGGGACATCAAAGACCAAACTACGCAGCACTCCTTCTAGACCTGCGGACTATTGAAGTCTGCTTCCTATGTCCTGAACCATACAGATACATCCCTCTCCCCTCTCTCCCCTTTTTAAACAGTCCTTGCTGTAACCATTCTCACTCTTTTTTCTCATACAGATAAGAGATGCTGAAACTACCAACTCCAGAACTGATCATATCTTTACGCTTAGGAGTATTACATGCAAGTTCAGCTGGAACACGGATGACACCAAAGAGGAGTTAGAGAAACTCTAGTTGGATGAGGGTGGGAAGAAAACAGAGCTTGCCAATGTTACTTGTTTGGAATTATGACCCTCCAAGCCCCATTGTAACAATTCTGTGAATCATAGTCCAAAACAAAACAACTTACAACCACCACCACCACTACACTAATTAACTTTGCCAAGCTCTGGAAGAGAAGATGGGCACTTGAAATATGCCTTTGTCAGCATACACATTTCTTTTAAAAAAAATCAGCCAACACATAGATATATATCTACCTTTATCTCCATCCTGCTCATTTGAGATCTTCTTCATGTCTATGAAGTGAGTGCCTAAGGCCACATCATTCATGCTGCCTTCATCCCACACCTGGATTTTCACTCTTCGGCACAAGGGAGGAAACATTTCTTTAAAAATAACCTGTTCGTGCCACACAGGATCGGCACAGTTCTTCTGCACTGTTGTTCGGCCCTTAAAGGGAAAACCAAAGGCCAGGCTGAGACTTGTCTACGTATTCACCAACCCTCCTCCTAGAATAGTTTCTCATTTCTTATAACTCTCTGCTGGAGTCTTTATAATACAATAATAATCTTAGAACTACAGATCATCAAGTCCAGCCCCTCTCAAGGAGGCACAGTGGGGAATTGAACTCCAACCTCTGCAGTCAGAGACCTAAGCCACTGAGCTATCCAGCAGTTCTACTTTGATATAGAACAGGGTGTGAGGGAGGTGTGTGTCTCTGACTGGCCCAAAGTTACCCTGTTTCCCCAAAAACAAGACCTAGCCTGAAAATAAGCCCTAATAGGATTTTTCAGGATGCTCGTCATATAAGCCCTACCCCCCAAAATAAGTCCCAGTTAAGTGAGACCATGCCTCCCACCCTTGTGCAGTAACCAGAATAAGTTGACATGAGTCTATTTGAATAAGTGTAGATGGTTGTACATGGGGAAAAAAAACATCCCCTGAAAATAAGCCCTAATGCGTTGTGGTTTTTTTGAGCAAAAATTAATATAAGACCCTGTCTTATTTTCAAGGAAACACAGTAGTTGGTTTCCCTTTTCTGTGGAGTCTTGAACCTATAATCTCTGAAGTCTTAGCCCAACACTCTCAGCTAAATCTAATTGTTAGTTCCAGCTAGACTAGCTCCAGGGAAGTACGTATTGGGACTTGTTAAATCGATACTTACACAAGGAAGTTAATTGTTTTAAAACGTGTCATAGGGCAGTGAATATTCACTGCATCATTTTAAAGACCTAAAAGACTAATGGAAAAGAACTGTGTATTTTGACAGCAGGCGAATTGACAGCACACTGCGCTGCACTGTTCTAATACACATTCACTTTGCTAATATACATTTGCTTTCCGTGAATTGTTTATATCTTTAAAGTGATGCCACACAGCAATCTCACCAAATTGTAAAGCTAGGTGACCAAACTGAAGCCACTGGGTGAAAATGACAGCAGGCAAATTGACAGCACACTGTGCTGCACTGTTCTAGTACACATTCAGTTCCCTAATAATCTCTGCCCTCATAAAGACTTAAAAGACACATTCACTTCCTACGCCCTTCAGCAGAGCTGAGGAAGTGATCAATGTGCCTGTATGGTGAAGTGACTCTCCTCTTAAGCAAATTGACAGCAGGGTGCCACAGACCAAATAGAATCACTTGAGGTCCATATGCCATTTGGACCCTTTTTGGATGGATCCAAAGGGCATACTGGGCTTCTTATTTAGTGACCCTATTTAGCCTGCTCCGAATGCCACATAGAGACAACCCCTATGTCTGGAAATGAAGCAAATGTTGATATGTAGCAAGGAATCTGAACTAGTGCGAGAGAGGGTACCAGGTAGCTGAATAGCCTATGTTCCCCCTTCTTCTCTTTTCTATCTCTTGCATTCATTTCGTTCTCCTTCTCTAGTGGTTACATTTTGTTCCTTCCTCTTCTTGGCTAGAAAGAGGCAGACTCACACAGACTCTCCATATTTATTGAGCAGACTTGCGAACACAGGACCCAACTTCAGACGGATCTGTAACCATGCTTGGGGCCCTTTCCTGTGCAATATCTCCATGGAAGGAATCAACCTGAATTTGTATTTTCATTCAGTTACATGTTTCTGGAATAACTGCTTTGTCCAAAGCCACCAGGTCAACACTAAACTGCCAAACTCTATTAGCGTAAATTCAGAATATTCGTCCAGCTACACCACTACCACTGTGGATGGTAAGAAGCCCAAATCTTAAGTGCACCCCTCCTTTTGCCTACTCCATTGAGTTACCTCTCCCAAGTTATTCCCACCTCCCTTAGGAGAGAAGAATGGGCCAGCTGACAAAAGAGGTAAACAGAACTGAGGTAGAGGAACTGCTTTTAAGGAATTGGGACTTTGCAGTGGTAAAGTAACTCAAAGTACTTTGTACACATTTTTAATAAAAAGTTGGGATCAAGCCCATTGTAGCTGAATTGCCTTGCCCTCCCAGTGAGTAGACCATCTGGGCAAAAGCCTATTTGAAGCACAGTTATTTAAGTTATCTAATTAGCAATTCCTCTAATATCTGAACATTTCTATGAGCTGGTCTTCTAAAGAGCAAAACAGCTTAATTAAAATTAAAACTGGCTCCAGTTGTCTCTGTCTGGTTGTTAATATTTTAGCTATTTAAGTAATGAGTACATGTTGTGAAAGATTTGTGTAGTCATACACAGATTTTCAGTAATGTTTTGTCATTAAAAAAAAACCTGAATCAATTTATTAATAGCTGTCCTAATTTTAAAAATAGTACTGACTCTTAACAAACAGAGAAGGATCCAGAAATGTATAGAGAGAGCTAGAAAATGCTGAGTACATGTTACAGAGAGACCTGTGTTCTAGAAAAGTACAGTGGTGATGGTGTGGTTAAAAATATTTGTTCATTGTTGCCTCCATGCAGTAAACATGAATCTCTTTCAGCATCAATTGTCTGAACAAACTGAGAGCCAACAGACAGGAAAGAATATTTGCTGAGATGCCTATTTACCATTTGACCTGCAAAGGTGACCACCACATATGGATCCACAAGGTCCTTGCTGTCACCCATGAATGCTTTTGTGACATTGGCCATGATGCTTGAGTTCATTTTGGGCAGTCCCTCAGCTTTGTAGATCCTCACGTAGAATCTGGCCCAAGGCCTTTCTGAGGGGAATCCTTTGGGAATCAACAGGTTCCTGTGCGGGAAAAACAAAACAAGCCAAAAGCTGTAGTTTGAAGAAAACTTAAGAGAAGTGATTTCAAGTCAGTGTTTACTCAGACCATGGAACCAAGTACAGAAGATGCCTTTCACTCATTTAGCAATTGTGTACATTAATGTTTTAAAACAGTCAATAACAGGTTTATAAGAGCCTCAGACTGGCACCATGGGGGTTGTGAAAACAGGGTTTAAACTACAGATGGGCATAAACTGAACTACAAACCGAAAAAGGCCCAAAACTGGGATGGTTCGTGGTTCAGTTTGTAGTTCGGTTTGTGCAGTCTTTTTTGCTGAAACAAAATGAAGCACCAAACCTCTTCCATCCGGCACTTAGTTTCGGCAAAACAGAAGGCCCTGCCCCCTTCCCGCTGCCCTGTCACCTCTCTACCTGTTCCACCTCTCTACCTGGTCTCCTCCTCTTCCTTCTTCACTGCTATCTTCAGAAATAGCAATCCAGATTCCCTTCTGGGGGCTGGGCCTGCTGTCTCTGGGTAGGCACCAGCCTATCAGCACAGGCGCAGAGGTGGCGCAGTGCAGTGGTACAACTGGAAAAGGTTCGACCCCCTGACCAGGCATGAACCAAAATCTGAACTGATTCACGGTCTGATTTTCTGGTTGGCTCGTGGTGGTTCATGGATTTTGGCCCACTACAAATGACAAACCACAGTTTTTCAGGATTGTGCCCCTTGTTAGTTTTAACCTTTTGACTGTGATCCTGAAGGAAAGCACTCCGACCTGTTATTTACTTATTAAAATAATTTCTGAAAATGTTGATTGCATAGATAGTAGCATCTGGTCCAATATATCCCTATGTAGTCTAGACCAGGGAATATAAAATTGTGTTTTCTCCCACTCTTTCTCCTTTTTGCCCATATTAAAGTCTTTCCACTTACAAGAAGCAGCCTACACATCAATGTTCAAGGTCCCTTTGATGCGGCTGGGAACTGTGGAAAACATACCAACAACACTAGCTAAGAGTGGGTGTTAATGGGGTGGCCAGGCTTTAAAAGCACCACCTCATGCTTTGAACGTTCTCCTCCTCCAGAGTTTCTCATCCAGAAATGGTCTCACTGCCTAAAGATCCAAAGAAACACAGCTTTTCCTTCAGCCAGAAGAGCTGTAAAAGCTGCCATTTTGGCACAGTGGGCAAGCGGCACCAACTTATGGCCACTGCGCTATGAGGCATGGGTGATAAACATCCATGGGGAGAAAAAGAGGAGGAGAATGTGGTGTCACCCCAAAAGAAAGATAACATTTTTGCCTTCAAAAAAAGGGAGAGCAAATCTGTTGAGGATGCTGTTTATTTTATCAACACTCATCAGCAGATTCACCCTCTAAATTTGGTGCTGTGGGGCAAAATGCCCTCGAGATTTAGGTGCTGTGGGGCAAAGTTCCAGTTGGTCTACATGTCTGACTCTTCCATCAGCTGGTGCCTTGGTTGTGGCCAGTTTATATTTGCCCCATACATTGGCCCAGTATGACACAGAATGGATTAGCCCATTTCGTGAAGTATACAATTAAAATGCCACTCTTGTTGTTGTTGTTTAGTTGTTTAGTCATGTCTGACTCTTCGTGACCCCATGGACCATAGCACGCCAGGCCCTCCTGCCTTCCACTGCCTCCTGGACTTGGGTCAAATTCATGTTGGTCACTTCGATGACACCATCCAACCATCTCATCCTCTGCCGTCCCCTTCTTCTCTTGCCTTCACACTTTCCCAACTTCAGGGTCTTTTCCAGGGAGTCTTCTCTTCTCGTGAGATAGCCAAAGTATTGGAGCCTCAGCTTCAGGATCTCTCCTTCCAGTGAGCACTCAGGGTTGATTTCCTTTAGAACGGATAAGTTTGTTCTCCTTGCAAACCTATCACTCTGTGGTTGCTTGCACTACAGCTGCACTGTCTATACATGGACTCGGAATGCCAGGCAGAAACTAATTAAGTCATGAGCGTACTTCTCTATCTGCTCTTCCGCATCGCTTGTTTTCTGAACGGCCTGTATGGTGTCTCCTTTCCCAGCAACGGTGATATCACACTTCAGATATCCCTTAGCTCCTGTCCTGATGTCAGCAGGGTCAGTAAGAAGGGCCCACTTGTCACAAAACTGATGACCTGGAAAAACATACAAGCATGAGCAGTACACTGGGGAAGTTTTAGAAACCTCTACCCTACAGGTGAAGCCTGTCAGCAAGTTACTAGCAATAACTATTCTTGCTAAAAGCGTGAATACACTAGAAATTGAGTTCAGAAGGTGGCTCCCTTTCTCATATTTTTCAAGGGTTAGAGGAAACAGACAGCACTGAGCTTAAGAAATTGAAATACTGTACCACATTTCCATTAAATGGATATTTAAATTTTGAAAACTTCAGAGACTTTTTTTGAGATATATTTTCATTCCAGCCTCTGTATATTTACAAGATACATGCAGCTGTTTTTGGTGGCACTTCGTTCACCTCCACGTTGTCTATTTCCCTATCCACCTCTGTCATGTTGGAAATAATTTGCTCATATGCCAGAATGTGGCATTAAATATTTCTAACCCCACCCCCCAACAGCAGCCACTGATGCAAAACTTCATTATAACTTTGTTGTGGATAAATCACACTATAAATTCTCACAGAGAATGAGGAACGCCAGACATATCGCTGTCATTTTCTGTGACAGCCACATGCATGTTACAAAAGTGTGCTTTTGATATTAGTTAGCAATGACTGCTTTTATTTTTTAGTGGCTCACTTTTCTGAAAGAAACTTCACTAAAATAAAGCAAAGATGGATTCTAGATTAAAGCTTTCTCCCCAGCTTTGGCACTGGCCAGAATGGGGGATACATTCAACTGTGTCTTGAGTTTGGAAAAAGTTATGGCTTGGGACTACAGTCTCCGGGATCCCCAACAAACACAGCAACTGCCCATGCTGGCTAAGGGATTCTGGGAACTGTAGGCGCAAAAAGTAACTTTTCCAAAAAGAAAAGCAAGAGAAAGAAATACCCATGGGCCTAACTCACTGACCAGGCAAGAATCATAAGAGAACTGAAGTACTTAATTTACTGGATTATCTAACATGTGAAAGGTTGTGATCCAGACCTGCAATGAAGTCCTTATAGAAAGACTATTCAGCATAGGCAATGGCTGAGATAGATCCCCCCGCCCCCAAATGTGAAAACATTTGCCCGGCAATTCTGTGGCTCAGCCTTGTCAGGCCACTGGGGCAAAAACTCCTTGCTTAATAAAAGAGAGACCAGATTTTTTTAAAAACACACCATATCTTACCTGGTTCATTGTATACTGTCCCCAAATCTACTTTGAAGGAACCAATCAATACACTACCTATCAGCTTGTTATGCATGACCTGCAAAAGAAAGATTTATTAAAGGTTTCATTTTCTTTCTCAAAGATTAAGCACCACATGTATAGATTACGTAGGAGATCCCTAGATGTCTTGGGGGATGTTGCGCCCATCCCTGGACATCGGAGGGTGGCACCTACTCCCACCAAACTGCCCCCCCCTGCTTTCCCATATAAAAATAGAGTTGTTTGTTTTAACAGGAAACTTTTTGCCCTCTAGTGGACAATGTTATATTTTTTAAAATAGAGACACCCTAGTCTCAGGAACGTTGACCCCCCCTCAATACATGGCAAAATTGCCCACCACACCTCCTAGAGGGCACAACAGAACTTTCTGAGCCCCTCTTTTGTCCACCAAAAAACCAAGGATGCTGTGGCTGCATGTTGTGTACTAAATCAATATACTGTAGATTTTTTTTAAAAAAAGAGTGCTAGATTTTTTTTTTTTTAATTAAAGAATCTTTGAACTGCAGAACTGGAAAGGACCCTAGGGATCATCAAGTTCAGTTCCTTTCAAGGAGACACAGTGCGGAATTGAACTCCCAACCTCTATCTAAGCCACGGAGCTATCCTGAAGCTATTTTTCAGAACTACAACTTGTCATGGCCACGCTAGCTGGGGGATTCTGAGAAATGGAATCCCCAAAGTCAACTTTTTCAACCTCTGCAAAAACTCAAAATTTATTTATTTATTTATTGTATTTCTATCCCACCCATCAGGTCAATTGACCACTCGGGGCGGCTAACAACACTTAAAAATAAAACAATTTAAATATAACAAACATAGGCAACATCAGTAATAAATTGTTCAAAATGGAAAGAAAACAGAGAAAAGAAATCAAATAGTGGCTGGAGGGAAAACCTCTGCAAAAACTCAAAATTTATTTATTTATTTATTGTATTTCTATCCCACCCATCAGGTCAATTGACCACTCGGGGCGGCTAACAACACTTAAAAATAAAACAATTTAAATATAACAAACATAGGCAACATCAGTAATAAATTGTTCAAAATGGAAAGAAAACAGAGAAAAGAAATCAAATAGTGGCTGGAGGGAAGGCCTGCTTATAGAGAAAAGAAATCAAATAGTGGCTGGACGGAAGGCCTGCTTAAACAGCCAGGTTTTCAATTGGCTTTTGAAAATGCTCAGCAAAGGGGCCATATGGATCTCAGGAGGGAGTTTATTCCAAAGGCGAGGAGCCACTGCTGAGAAGGCCCGGTTTCTTGTTTTTTCCTTCCGGGCCTCCCTTGGCATTAGGTTCCTCAACCTCACCTCCTGGCTAGATCGAGTGATATGGTTAAATTTTGGTGGGAGTAGGCGTTCCGATAAATTTCAAGGTCTTAAACCGTTTAGGGCCTTGTACGTAAGCATTAAAACTTTGAAACCAATATGGAACCGAACGGGCAGCCAGTGCAGAGCGGTACGTAAGCATTAAAACTTTGAAATAAATGTGGAACCGAACGGGCAGCCAGTGCAGAGCGGCCAGAGTGGGAGAGATATGTTGGTATTTTCTCACCCCACTAAGGAGTCTGGCCGCCGCATTCTGCACCATTCGAAGCTTCTGCATCAGCCTCAAAGGTAGCCCCACGTAGAGTGCATTACAGTGGTCTAATCTCGAGATTACAAGGACATGTACCAAAGCGCATATACCAAAGCGCATGTACACATACCAGTGCCAATTCTTTGTCACAGTCTACTAGTCTAAGAAATTAAAACTAGGATAAGGCTTGCACCTTCCAGCAACAATGACAAAGTTGTCGGGGGCTCCACTAGGGCACCAAGGGACGAACAACATAACAACCTTTCATTATTCCTTCATGCTCATATTTGATTTATACTTCATACTGAACAAGACAGATACAGATTTCTGCCCCAAACAATGTAATTTGTTCCCAGCGAGCATCTAGTGGTCACATTCTTTCCGTTTTTTATTTTGCAGACATATTTTATTCCAAAAGCAATGCTGGAAGGCAAACTAAAATAAATCTGATTATTACGGCTGCAATGAATATTATGGATGCAGTCGGTTAATATGTCCCTCTAAAGCTTCACTTGCAACACCTTGCAGCTCCAGCAAAGCAATCCAGAGTTTAGATCCTCAATTAAAGCAAACCTAAGAATAGCAGAGATTTCCCGGGAAGATGTGGTTTCTAAATGATGGCTGAGAATTTGTGTCCTACCTCCACTAGCTTGACATCTGGGATTTACAGTGTGACCTCAAATGCTAATTTAAAAAAGGAGCAATGCAAAAGGTAGGTGTTAAATAATGTAAAATAGACTAGAAGTTAGAAAAGCTATTTTTGGACTGCAAATTCTAGAATCTCATTGCTTGCCACTTGGGCCTAGAAACTTTAGTACCGAAAAAAGAGTAACTTTTCCAAGCTCTACAGCAGATTTGGTTCTTCCAAAAGGATAACTGTCAATCGTCTCCTTCTCAGCAATGAAACAGCATTGTTTAAAAGTGTGTAAATTACTAGTGTAAAATGATCTCATCTGTTGTTTTTTTTCCCTGCCTACACACAAGGCTTCTCTCTCCTAAATAAGAAACAAAAGATTTCCTTGTCTCCTTTCATTATGGATCATTGTTTTCCATGCCTGCTGCTTTAGAATGACAATTTAATTTCGGGGCCCCAAGGAGGTAAATGTACTCACAGAGATTTTGATAATTTTGTCGAAGAGATGCACTTGAGGCCCAATGAAGTCGAACACAAAATACTGAGGAAGGAAAACAACAAAACAAAACTACATTCGTGTATTCATAATACCGAAAACAAAAATAATAACAAGAAGCAGAGCAGCTATAGATGTTAATCTCAACCCAAAATACTTTCCACCACAGGGCAAACAGCAATTGTGGAGTTGGGACTGAGAAACCAACATAAAGGAAAACATTAACTCTTCTAACACTGTTCTTATTCAATTCTGGCTTCCATTTTTTAAAAAGAGCAATCCTCTTAATAAAAAAAATGCTTTAAAAAATATATTTTCATAAATTTAATTTGTTTACATACAAAAAAACCCCACACACAATAGTTGACCCCTCACCCCAGGGACCATCCATTAATAAAATACATATATATATTTTACAACTTTTCCTTCATCTTTTAAAAGACCCTTCATCCCTTACAGAAATACATATATTCTTAACCGGGTGTTTGCCCTTTTCCTTTATCCAATATTACATTTATAAAGTCACCCTATAGCTCATTAAATTTATTAATCTTTACCACTCCTTTTTTTAAACTTAATTTCCAATGTCAGTTTATCATTAATCACAATATTCTAGATTTCATTATACCATTCATGTGGTTGAAAAATCCATTTCTTCTTCCAGTTTTTTGCTATAAGTACTTGAGCAATCATATTTATAATCATCTCTTTCTTAGAGTTATTTACATTATGATTACCTATTAACAATAATAATGCTGTTCTTGGTGATGCTTCTGTGTTGACTTCCAATATTTCTCTAATTTTTTAAAAAGCTTGTCTCCAAATGTTTTGTATTATTTTACATAATAAACTTCTTGCACCTCACTCTTTCCTTTGTTTAATAGGAGTTTGTTCTCTCCAAGCAGTCCTGGGAACTGTAGTTTTGTGAGAGCATTATGGATCTCAAATAGAGTTCCCATTGTACTCAAGCAAAACTACAGACCCCAGAAACCTTTGCAAAACAACATGGAAGTTAAGGTAAGGTAAAGATTCCCCATGGCATTTAGTCCAGCCGTGTCCGACTCTAGGGTGTGGTGCTCATCCCCGTTTCCAAGCCATAGAGCCAGCGTTTGTCTGTAGATAGTTTCCGTGGTCATGTGGCCAGTGCGACTAGACTTGGAACGCTGTTACCTTCCCACTGAGGTGTTACCTATTTATCTACTCGCATTTACATGCTTTCAAACTGCTAGGTTGGCAGGAGCTGGGACAAGCGACAGGAGCTCACTCTGTTCCGTGGATTCGATCTTATGACTGCTGGTCTTCTGACCCTGCAGCACAGAGGCTTTTGTGGTTTAACGCACAGCGCCATATAGTGCTAAAAGCAGTACAGTATAATTTTTTTTGTATGGCCTGAAATAAGTAAATAATAAGTATTTACTTATTTCAGGAAAACAACAGTAAACAAAATGGTTGGCTCACCAAACTTTTGCACTAACAACGTACATTAGCATGCTTGGCTTACTTCATTGTAAAATGGTGCATTGGTTCCTTCTTTGACCGTTGTCTGCTTCTTTTCATCTCCAATCTCTATAACCACCACAGGATCTATGTTTTCTCCCACAAGCTGCCGCGCTTCGATGATTGTTATGGCAATCTGTGAGGACAAAACACAGTGGTTGGAATGTAACTTCCTGTTAGAGCCGAGAGAATTAGAGAAAGAAGTTTGGGTCATTCCTTAGAAAAATTGGCTACCATTTTGTACTTTACCTGATAACTCTGTGATTTCACCTCCCCTTCATGGATCTTGGACTCCAGCTTTGCTCTGTTTCCATTTCAGAACACAAGGACAAGATATATCAGCCTTTCCAGTGTTACATATTTTCACCTTCAACAGTTGTGATCAAGCCATTACTGATACCAAAATCTCTTACAGTCGAAGGCTATCCAGGAATGTAATCAGTGACAATGCATGACCGGAAATGACAGCATTCTATACTGTGATCAAGCCATTACAGATACCAAAATCTCTTACAGTGGAAGGCTATCCAGGAATGTAATCAGTGACAATGCATGACCAGAAATGACAGCATTTTGACATGGCCCAAAAGTATTTGATACATTTCATGTTCACAAAAAAGGATCAAACAAAGTTAAGGAGGCTGAAATCCCAGTAACGAAATAGCAAGTAATTTGGCCCCAGTTTCTATCATATCTCAAAGGGAAAGAGTGAGTTCTCTCAGAAGTTTTTTAGGAGGATAAAGGACTGCAATATGTTTCTAGGTTATGTCTGTCTGTCTGTCTGTCTGTCTGTCTGTCTGTCTGTCTGTCTGTCTGTCTGTCTGTCTGTCTGTCTGTCTGTCTGTCTGTCTGTCTGTCTGTCTGTCTGTCTGTCTGTCTGTCTGTCTGTCTGTCTGTCTGTCTGTCTGTCTGTCTGTCTGTCTGTCTGTATGTATGTATGTATGTATGTATGTATGTATGTATGTATGTATGTATGTATGTATGTATGTATGTATGTATGTATGTATGTATGTATGTATGTATATGATGTTTACTCTTCTACTCCGACTTTAGTTTTTAAAAGCAGGTTGTTACTAAAAAGTTCCTTTTTAGTTCAGTTTAATTTTTTTTAATACACTTAGAAATATAGCATGGACAAAATCCTCAAAACCGCCCGCCTTAAAAATAATGTTTTAGGAGTAAGGGAAAAAATCTAGATCTATTTCATAGCTGAAGCTGCAAAGGGAGTAGCCCGTAAAGTTAGAAATGCTTCTAGATAGCAAGGCGAGGTCTAAAATTCATAGAATTCTGGAGGTCACTTTATGGTTGGCATTCTGCACTTAGAAAGGGTGAGGAAATGCTCAGAAAAATAATTATTTCACCTGTCATTGTGTTACTTTTCAGAAAAGTAGTGACATGGTTAGCATACAGGAAACATTCTAATGTGTTACTTCTAATTTCTAGTCAGGAGGTGGACCAAGAAGAGAATGTGAGATTACTTTGGAGCAAACTAAAGAAAGGTTTGGGAGAACAACTAGGTCTTAAGTTGCCTCCTGAAATCCAGGAGTAATTGGGCTAGCCACACCTGTTGCTTCAGTTATGAAGTAGATCTAGAATGTAGACTGGATTTCCACTGAAATCAGCAGTTGCCTTTCTATTGATACCAGGGAAAGCTAAATCAAGAGGGTTGATCTCTTTTCCCCCTAAAAACACCTACGACAATCTTTGGCAATTATTATGCATCTTCCATGCCAGGTTTCTTGGCAGGGCCTGTACTCGCATGGCTCATTTCATCACTGTCTCCCACCCTAGACTTCCATCTGGTGTCTGTTCATATTTTGGTGACAGTATTTTCCTGACAAATATTACGGGTTATGGATAAGTACAGCAACCTAGCGATAAACTCCCTCAAGTACATTGGCTGTCTGACGTGGCATGTATCAGCCACGGCAGTGCCTCTTCAGCAAGGAGACAGGGTAAGCGGTCATTCTGTGATCCAGCAGCACAATACCTCTTCTTCAGAGGCCCAGAAGCACCAAAGCTACTGGTGGAAGCAGCGGCATCATACATGGTTTCTCCTTCTTCTCCATCTTGGCCAGTAAACATCTCTTGGTGCAAGCTGTCAGTTTCTTCATGGTCATCTTATGCAGAGATGAAAAACAGGTGGAAAGACAGAGAGATAGAAAGAACACTGTAAACATAACTTCCGCAGCAGATATGAGGGACCCTTTTTTGGTCCTAGGCCATGTTCCCATGGGGCTAGCCCTCTGGAAGACACCTGCCCATTAAAAATAAAAAGGTCCAAAGTGGAACGTGGACACCGCAAGAATAAGTGAGTGGGCCTACACACATAGTCCCACTCACACAACTTTACGCTTATGTACATTTATACTGCAGTGTTTGCAGAATTATGTCTACACATTTGTCCACATACACACACACACACATATTCCCATTCTGTCTCTCTGTCGCTCTTATGCATACATGAGCAAACTCACACAAAACCACAGAAGAAGAAGAAAAAAACATCCACAGAAGTCAATGGAAGCCTTTTTCCCTCCAAGACTAATTGGACTGTGGGAGATCAGTGTGGGAGATCAGCATATGCAAAAAGGGGAGGTTCAACTCTCCTTCTCATCTATGAATCTTCCAAATTGCCCCAACTCTGCTACTAATCAGCTTGAAGGCAGGCTTCCATTAGAACCAATGGAGGGCTTTGCTTAAATCTAAGGCAGTATATATTTATATAGGAGACAGTATAGGAAATGGCACAAGCACACACATAGTGCCAGTTGTTAAAAATTCAGTTTGACTTTCTGGAAGCTAAGCCATGGCAACTGGACGTCTTTAATATTAGGTTGAAACGTTTCGCTACTCATCCAAGTAACTTCTTCAGTCTGAGGCTTGTTAGATGGACAAAGGATGGGGGGGTGAGCGAAAATCCCACCTCTGAAGTCCTTCTTCATGGTCACAGAGGTCATACATGTGTGTATAGAAAATACCTCACTCAATGGCGGTGGAGGCCTTAGATACAATCCGTCTCCTATTTATCATGTTGCCCTCTCATCTGTCCCCAGAAAGATCAGAACCACACCCACTAGAAAAACCACTGTTAACAACTGTGGAATGACAATGAGTGGAGAAGGACTACAGAAGTGGGATTTTCACTCAACCCCCCCATCTTTTGTCCATCTAATGCTCATATTCAGACTAGGGGGGAGTGAAACCAACGTGGAGGATATATCAGGGGTCTCCTACCAACTCTCCTCAGACTGAACAAGCTACTTGGATGAGTAGCGAAAAGTTTCAACCTAATAAGAAAGAATTCCAGTTGCCATGACTCAACTGCCACATAACCTCACCTGAATGGCTGAGAATCTTCACAGATATATTTAGTTTGACTTCTCTTTCTGGTACACTTATGGAATTGTTTTCTGTAAACATGTGAGGGGGAGTGTCTGGCTTTTTCCCCCCACCCTTGTCTCCTACCAAATCTATTCTAAGGGCCAGAGCATGCTATTCCTGGAGGAGTGAAGACAGGATGGATGGCCCACCAGGGATAAGAAGAGCATTCTCCTCATGCTCCCATATCTGTGAAGGCAGAAACCGCCACTAACATATTCAAATCAAACAAGTTGTCAATTGAGTTGGACATTTCTTCTTCTTCTTCTAACTGCGCACCTTCAACTCAGTTGTGACTTATAAGTCAAGTTTTCTAAGGATAAAGTACTCAGAATTGTTACGAGGCATTTCTGGGACATTTTGGAACTGTGTAGCTTGGCCAAGGCCGCAACAAGCTGGTCCCTCTTCCATGAAGCAGACAAGAGAATCAAACTCCTGACCCTTGCAGCCAGGTAATGCAGTCTAATTAACATTTACCTTAACTTGGAAGTTTTGCTTCAATGGTTCTCCAGTAATAAATTAGTCAAGTCTGTGAAGCTGCAGGGAAAGGAAGCTGTTGCCTGGTGACAGGATCATTAATGGGCTACATAACAGAAACCCTATTTCTCCTCCCACTCCATGATCAACACTGCCCATCTTGATGAATAGTTTTAAAGTAAAGAAAGGATAAGGGTAAGCAACTGAGATTATAATGGAGGGAAAAAGAGAAAGTAAGAAAATGGGTTTTGATTGGGTGGAAAAGAAATTGAATTTTCAAAACATTTCTTGCAAATATTTTCTTCTCCCCTAAGTTCAAAACAGAAGCAAAGGAGAGAGGAGGAGTAAAATCATGGATAGGATTTTTAACCTTCCTCCTCCTAAGGTTTTCCTCACATAAAGTCAAGGGCAAAGCATCCTCAAGTAGTTTTTTAGGTTATTAATGGTTAACCTCCTTTATGACCATTTTTCACTGTTTAATCTCTGTGTGTCTCTCAAAACTGAACAAAAAGCCTCCACAGATAGGAAAAAATGTGCTCCATAAAAAGATGCTTTCCATGTTTTTATAAGTCAGCAGTACTGTCAGAGAGCGGAGGAATCGTGCATGAGCACATTTCCCCTCCTCACGGCTTCATAACTCCTGAAGAAAAATTTGGAAGCCGCTAGTTAGGTTTCATGTTTCATGACGTCAAACATAACATGCTATCTCACTCACTTTATCACTGCCCTGTGACATTACAGATGCCATTAATCTCAAAATTACCTCTCATTCTCACCAGCGATAATATTGAAATAGCACGACTTACCCGCTGCGCCTTTGTTTGCAATGGTTAACCCTTTATCTGCTTTCTTCTTCTTCTTCAGCTTTATTCCAGCAAACAACCCTTTTCTGAAATGAAATGAAATGAGAGTGAAAGTGAATTACCAGCTAAGGACATAAGGAGGCCCTGTAGGAAAATGTTGTAATGTTGCCTGTTTCTGTTTAATGTTCCCAGAATTTTTGAATATGACTTTTTAAGATGATGACCATCACAATTACCCTGTGGCTGGGGATTCTGGGAGTCGCAGTAAAAATGACTCTCCAATTAGGTTGGCACTTTTGGGATATTTTATTCCCCACCACTCCCCTAGCCACCATCAAACAATCAGACAACATTTTGAATATTCAGGCTCAGTGAAGACACCCTCTTTCTTTCTTTCTTTCTTTCTTTCTTTCTTTCTTTCTTTCTTTCTTTCTTTCTTTCTTTCTTTCTTTCTTTCTTTCTTTCTTTCTNTTCTTTCTTTCTTTCTTTCTTTCTTTCTTTCTTTCTTTCTTTCTTTCTTTCTTTCTTTCCCTGTAGTCCCTCTGAGACTAAAGACACCACCCTCTCCAGTCAACAGTGCTGTCTTGGCTATACAGTATATGGATCCACACTTGAAGAATGAGTTCATAGATAGTTTAAACAATTTGTCACCAACACACCTTGTTTAGTTTACAACCGGAACTGAATTGGCTTTATAGATGCCCTTAAGCAGGATGGTGTGTAAGTTATGATTCTGCACAAGTGTAGGAAAAACCACCACTGAATGATGTCCTGGCTGTAGGATTCCACTTCCTAAGACCCTTAGCTATCCCTCTTTCAAATAATTTCTAGTACTTAGGATTCAAAAGATATCTGAAGCCAGATGAGTGGCTGAATAGATAACTGCATAGGCCTTGCTTCTCGTGAGCAACAAAAGCAGAACAAATCATGTAAACCAAGAGGAATTGGGGAGATGAATGTAATTTGTAGAATTGCAAAAAAAAAAACCCTGTATTTTTTTTTTGCCAGAAAATCTTGAATTAAATTTGTTTCCACCAATTTGTGAAATGGTTGAACACAGGAAAATAGAAGACTAGGCTTCCTAATTCAGTACTGTCAAGTTAGCAATTTGGGCAGCTTCTATGTGACTACACTATATTAGCATCAAAATGCATATGCTCAGGTTACAGTGACTCTGATAAGATAGAGCTTTGTTACCAAAGGAGCTGTATCCAATTTCCTGTACTAACAGAATGCATGAATTAATTACACAGGAAGCCTGCCCAGCTGTATCTGGATTTAAAGGAATGAGAGTATTCACCAAAGCTATGATGTTGGAAGGGGCTCTGATAATCAAAACATGCCTGGCACATCCCACATTGTAGTTTTTTAAATTCCACATTAACGTTTGAAGAGACCATCATGTTGACTGCGCCATGAGCACCCAATGAGTTTGCAAGCAACACGCAACACAGAAAGCTCAACAATGTCTTATTTCTTATCAAGGTAGTCCAGCTGTGCCATGAGTTTGCAAGCAATATGCAACACAGAAAGCTCACCAATGTCTTATTTCTTATCAAGGTAGTCCATCTCACACAGCAACACAGCCTGTCACTAGTTCTCCAATCCTTGTGAGCATTGTTGCAACCTGTCAGTTCTCCAATCCTTGTGAGCATTGTTGCATTCACTGTGAGAATCAGAAGAGAAGCCATACTGGGGGATAGTATCTTGCACACCATTTATAAAATGTGGCGGCATGAAACCAATGCCTTTCCTCTAAATATGCATAGGCTGATTAATCAAAAGACACAAGTAACCCATCCAGTGCTACTATGTCTGCAAGTTCATACAAGAAGGCAATAGTCAATACGTTTTCAGAGAATGCACATTTTTCAGAAACAGAACAAACTGATTTGGCAAACATGCAATATATCTCCAAAATTGATTTTTGAACATTCTGATCATCTCAAAGTGAGGAGAAAAATTCTCACATTATTTTGTTTGCCATTTGAGAAAGAAATAAGCCAGGGCTTCTATCTCTAACTGTACACTCGTACAAATCCGATTTTTACTCTCAGCTAGAACAGACCCCCCCAAAAAAACAATTATGTGGTTCCCAGTGATTTTGCGGGTCTACCCTAGTTGAGACTTGCAGCTAGTTTTAAGCCTCAGTGTTGTGTGATCACTAAGCACCTTCCATCCTGATTTAGCGATTTGGTTTCCTTCCCTTCTCTTGGGTTTCCAGAAATATTGCAGATAGCATTAATACCTGATTTGGGCCTCACATACGTGGCCCTCTTTGTCTGGGCAGTTCCAAATGAGAAAATGCTGTTACGATGCAGATTGTTGCTCTGGCATATTGTGCTTTATATAGTTTTTATATCTCCAGTGCTCTAATCTCTGTAGCAATGCAGAAATGAAGGAATGTGGTTAAATAAAGGAACGAGCTCTTTCAAACTCTGCTAGCCTCCCATTGCTCACCATGTTGTATTTTACTTTTACCTTTCACTGGTGGAGCTTTACAGGTTTTTATTTAACTGCTTGCAAGACATATATTAGCCATTTCCTGAGTCATTTCACTTAAGCCGAATAGCTGCAGATGCTGCTTGATTGAATCTGGCACTTTTCCCAGCCATTCGATAACTGCTGCTGCTGGAGATTCAGTTTAAAAGCAAGCTGGAGGACAGTGGGGGGAACTCGATTGCACAAAAAAGCTGGGAGATGTGTCAGTCTTCCTAAAAACTGAATTAAATTCCCCCTTGTAGTGTAAAACCATATTGTGGTTTATCTTATGCCACATTGACATTCTTGGTCAGCTGCATCAGAGGGTTACGACAAGCACACAATAGGCAAATTGTGACTCATGAGCCATCAAAGTCATGGTGAAAGGTAAATTCCTTGAGTCCTTTTTAATGCCTGAAAGTGGGCAGATCTGTCCCTCCCTTTTGGGAGTAGTAATCCACAAAAATGAAGGTGACTGAGTGTAGGTAGATCATCAAATCATGACATTCTTGTACTGAGCTTACCACCCTTGAGAAGCAGGTAAGGTAAAGGTAAAGGTTCCCCTTGACATTTAGTCCAGTCGTGTCCAAATCTAGGAGGTGTTGCTTATCCCTGTTTCCAAGCCATAGAGCCAGTGTTTGTCCATAAAGAGTTTCCCTGGTCACGTGGCCAGCGCGACTAGACACGGAACACCATTACCTTACACCGGGGTGGTACCTATTTATCTACTTGAGTTTACATGCTTTCAAATGGCTAGGTTGGCAGAAGCTGGGACAAGTGACGGGAGCTCACTCCATTGCATGGATTCGAACTGCTGGTCTTCTGACCTTGCAGCACAGAGGCTTCTGTGGTTTCACCTGCAGCGCCACCACAGTAACTCCCTCCCTCACCTCCATCGCAACCCAACCACACCTCGTCTTCATAGCAGTCATTGCTCTCACTCTTGATAAACTTGATTAACTTAAGTGACATCATCATCATCACTGTGATTCTGTGACCCTTGGTTGGCTAGAAGCAATTTAGGAGAAAGAAGACCTAAACTTTTGCTTCCTGCCATTAGCATCATCATCATTCGAAACAGGCCATATGTGTGTATTGCTATCGCTCATTGTATCTTACATACATTTATTCTTCGCGTCCTGATTCTTAGGTAATCAGAACGGCATCATTAATACATTCCTCCTCTATTTCAACATAGAATTGGGTTTTTTTTCCTAAAATGATGCAGGTTTAACCTAACCTCAAAAATCCCTCCTTAAAGTTTTCTGTGCCCTTAAATTACTTCATTCTCCCTTATTGTTCTATGTGCTCCAATCTCCTCTTCTCCTCCCTCAACTTCTACTGAGCCACCTGTTTCTCTTCACTAAGTCTTCAAAAACCATCTTTTCAGTATTAATGGAAATGTTTCAAGTCTCTGAACCATATAAACATAAACTAGATGTACTGTAAAACTGCTCAAGTGTAACTGGTTCATTCAAGGACCCCTGAAGTTCTAAGTTTTGTGAAGATGCTGAAATCATCTGAGTGTGTGTGCAGTTCTTTCCCTCACTCAGCTCCAATGTACAAAAAGATAATGGGTCCATTATGAAGCAAGATTGGCATCATGAGCACCTACAGAGTGCTTCTTCGCTTCTGTCCAGAGTTTGTCTAGATATTACGTGGGGAATCTGTGTTCCTGCATGGATGGAGCATCCCGTCCCCCTTGGCTTTTCTCTGATCCCTCTTCCTTAGCATCCTTCCAGGAGAGGAGAAATATTCTTTCCATTCCTGAACAATGCTGGCCAGTTAGTTACTTTACATGACATCCACATGTGGAGTTTTCACGCTCAGCTTGGAAAGTGTACTTTTGGGGCATTGTTTTGATGGGGGATTCTGGAACCTATAGTCCAAAGTAGTAACTTTTTGAATCTCCAGTTCAGAAGAGGAAGTACGTCATTGAATACAAGTTGTTGGAGGGCAATCATGAAAAAAAGGATAGTGGTATGCAGCTCTACTCAGGAGCATCTCAAAGGCTTCTGGTAGGACTTTTAATCTATTTTTACCAGGACTCTTATTCAACAACTGTGCTGCTTAGGTTCACCACAGTAGTAGGTTAGGACAGTCAAAGCAGAGAGAGAGAGAGAGAGAGAGAGAGAGAGAGAGAGAGAGAGAGAGAGAGAGAGAGAGAGAGGAACCACAGAACAGGCAAAAGAGACCATAGAGTCAATTTTTTTTCATTTCCTTATCAAGCAAAATCCAAATAAAACAAAACAGAAAAGGTGAAAACACTTGGCACCTTGAAAAGCTAGCTATTATATTTTAATGTAAGCTTTCATGGACATATCCACTTCATTGGATATGTAGAAACAGAAAAAAAAAGATTTGGATGAAATACCTTTTTCCTTGTTCGTGTTAAAAGCACCACAGTACATTTAATAAATGTAGCAGATTTATTTTCTTTGGGCTTGCAAAGACTCTGTCAGTGTGAAAAACCCATTTTCTTTGGTTTATCTTTGCTTCTGCCAACTCCACTTAAGTGACTTCTACATAACTCAGTTCTCCACATGACTGGAGGCTCAAATTTCCTGGGGTTCCATCCATTTTAAGGGGCAGGTTGTTCTTTCTTTCCACATTATAATCCTGGCATTTTAAGTTGTTTCTTTGAGATTCACAGAATAAAATATGCTTTAATTTAATTTGGGAAGGACAAATGGTGGCCAAATAGTGGATGCACCTTGATGGTGTAGATGCTTTGAGGCTTTCAGTATTAGCTGCTACCACTCTCCATAGGTTATTGGATGTAATGCTTGATAGGTAATTGATTTCATCAAGAAGGGTTGGTTTCAGGCATTCAGTAATGATTCTACAGCTTTCACTGAGTACTACATCCACCTGTTTTGCATGGGCTGAAATATACCATGCCAGGCTGGTATATTTGCCTATAGAGTGCATAGGACCAAGGCTGTCATTCTTAGAGTTTGTGGTTGTGTGTCAATTAAAAATAGACATAAAATCTGTACAAATTAATGACTTAGAAATGATAATTAAATGTAAGGACGTGACACAGGAGACCAAGACCAAGATCATTCCACACTCGGTATTTCCAGTCAACATGTATGGAAGCCTGGAGGCAGGCAGTGCATCATAGCCTCCCCCTATTTGAAGAGACCCTTGGCCAGCAGGCCGAGGCAAAGAGGCAGTCCGGAAACCCGCACAATCAGGGAGCGGGACAGGGGACAGATTGTATTTGTCTTCAGTGTGGAAGGGATTGTCACTCTCGAATTGGCCTTCTCAGCCACACTAGACGCTGTTCCAAGTCCTCCATACACAGCACGTTACCATAGTCTCTCGAGACTGAAGGATGCCTAATGTAATGTGAAACCTGGACCGATAAGAAAACTGACAGGGCAAAAATAGATTTAAATTTGAAATGTGGAGCTGAAGGAGAAATTTGCTGGATTGCCAGAAAGATGAAAAAATGGGTCCTTGATCAAATCAACAAACTGGACTATCTCTGGAGGCAAAACTGTTGAAACTGAGACTATCGTACTTGTGGCACATCATGAGAAGACAGGATTCTATGGGGGGGAAAGCAATATTTCTGGAAAAGCTTGAAAGCAGCAGGAAAAGAGGAAGACCAAATATGAGATAGACTGACTCCCTAAAAGGAACCACAGGTTTGAGTTTAGAAGAGTTCAGCAGGACTAGTAAGGACAGGAGATCTTGGAGATTGCTCATTCATAGCGTCACCATGTGTCAGAACAGCACATAAGAAGAATAATTGAAATGTGCAGGGACAAACGTTGAATTATTGCTATAATTTAAATATAAACATAATGCATCTCATTCCATAACATTTGCACATGCTAACTGAAATGTGCTGACAGAAATGTTCAAATAACGGCTATAATTTAAACAGAAACGAATACATCTCACTGTGAAGACTGTGATTTGGTTACGTAAGGGACATGGTGGCACTGCGGATTAAACCACAGAAACCTCTGTGCTGCAAGGTCAGAAGACCAGCCATCGTAAGATTGAATCCACATGGCGGAGTGAGCTCCCATTGCTTGTCCCAGATCCTGCCAACCTAGCCATTCGAAAGCACGCAAAAATACGAGTCGATAAATAGGTACCATCTCAGTGGGAAGGTAACGGTATTCCGTGTCTAGTTGCGCTAGCCACGTGACCACGGAAACTGTCTTTGGACAAACGCTGGCTCTATGGCTTGGAGACGGGGATGAGCACCCCGCCCTAGAGTCGAACACGACTAGACTAAATGCCAAGGGGAAACTTTACCTGTATCTGCTCAGCCTGCTTTATCTAAGTGGTGGCTTTGATGGGCCACATCAAAGCGCTCCTACTGCCCCTTATTACTGTATTTATCTTTAAATGAGATTTCATCTGAACAGCCTTTCAAAATATAGAAGGGCTTCAAAGAACTATTATTTAATATCCTTTCAAACATAAGACTGCCTTCTGTGCACCTTGGCTGAGGCTTCTCTCACTCCTGCCATGGATGCATTGTTAATAGCAAGACATGACAGCATCATCTCCTTGTTTGGGCCCAAACCGTTTTTAAAATATAGGAACACTTAATAGGCTGGCAGCATCCATAAGGAGCTGATTTCCAAAATATGTTCCACCCACGGTAGAGACAGCAGGGTGCAAAGAGACAAATTGCTAATCAGAGCAGCTGATTTTCAGTTTGCTGAGTGGAATACACCCAAACATTTTCATTTCTGAGGAACAGAAAGCTTTGTTTGCAGAACAAAATGGCATATTTATGGAGGATGCTGCACACATAGGCTTCTTAACCCCGCTTCTCCTTTGACAGGCATTACAACAGTTTAGGACTAATTTGCCGCTAAGATGTTAAAATATATATATATAGGAAGAGACATAGAATGAATTATTTCAACCACAAAGGATAAGCAGGAATATTCTTGCAAGAAGAACAAAGGAACCCTCTTACAGGTGTGTATCAAGTGAGTTCATCCATTCACAGGACCCTTCTGCTTGTGACTTGCACAGATGTAGACCCAGTGGTTGGGGACAGGCCCTGCCATGAGACAAACTGAGGCATTTGCCTGAGACAGGAGATGCTTTAAGGCAGCAGCAAGATGTTGGAACTGAGAACTGTGTGCCGAGAAAT